CAAGAATAAATATGGTTCCCTTTAACATTTGTATAATATCTTGTAGCATAGATCTTTTTAAATAAATGTCCATAGGGTACATATTGGCCCAACAATGCCAATGGCTTGCTATGTATATACAGGTTGTTATGATTACTATAGCTCGTTCATGTAACTAGGCTGTGGTTTGCACTTAACAGTAGGTTGTTTGCCTTCCCAATTATATAAAGAAATGTTTTGTATTATGGTATGAACTTACTAAGTTGCATTAACAAGTCTATATCACATTTGCCGTGGCAGGGAGAGTAACACTTGTAGTATAGTGTTGATGTGAATCGAAAAGGACCACTTAACCTTCACCTGTGTTACAAATCTCGGTATCTGCTAGAACTTTCTCTCCTGGTATGTGGTAGACATGGATTCGATACCCGCACGGTGAATCTATGGAATGCTAACAAGTTCTCGCTTATATTGATTTTTATTAAGAATTAGGGAATGATTAAATGTACAGGAATGTTCTAATAGCTACTCGTATAATCCCCGCGCTAAAATGTCCTATATGAATAAATAATTTTTGATTTGTTTTATCAGTCGTCTCGTACCCATAACATAAGCTCTGGTCACTGTTAAACATAAGCTTAGATGAGATGGCATTACGTGAATTGTCTTGAAATATTATTATTCTTTATTTCTTATTATTATTGTATTTTCCATACCATTATAGATATAGTATTGTACTATTATCAGGGCCAGTATATAGCATGTAGTTAGTCAAACACACTGTTATTACGGATTACCTTGAAAACAGGTTGCTAACGTTTTCATTAAAGTTTGTAGAGCATTTCTACTTCGCCCTGACCCTAAAAATAATTATTGTACGATTAATTATACATGTACATTTAACCAGTGAAAGTGAATAATGTTTATTCGTTTGTGTTACATTTGCCTGCGCATAATAATATGTATCATTTTTATGCGAGGAGAATCCTAACGAGCTTAAGTCTCATGGTTCACTGTTGCATGGAAAATTTTCATCGTTTATGATTACTTTATTGACTACTAGCTGTGCCCGTGACTTCGTCTGCGTGTTATAGTGACCTTGACAAAATAAAGAAAAAAATATTCAATTATCTAACTCAAAAAAGTCAAAGAAAACAGTTTCAACGTTCTAGATTTAAAAATGACTTTAAAAATGAATTTTATTTTAACCCCTTAGGCATTTATAATATTAGTAAGGATTAGTAAGCTTTAGGTAGACTTTGTAGAAAGTCGTTTCTGTAGCTACTGGGTCTAAGTTCTGTCTCACTTAGGTAATGCAACCGCCATACAGTTTGACTTTGTAAAATGTATTTTAGTTGAAGAGTGAGGTAACGTAATGAAATTTATCCTCATTTTTTAAATTTTTCGGTTTTTTTCACACTACTCTAATGCTGTTGGCTGCAGCTGGCCTTTACAGCTTCAGGGCGAGTGCAGATGGTATTCCAAACTCGCTGAAGGACTTATGGAGCGGCTGAAAGCCAACTTCCGCCTGACAGATACGACCTAGTCTGAGGACACCGCTAGGAATTCGAATCTCGCCCCAGGCCGTTGTAATCGGTTGGGATCGATCAGAGACAGAGATCGGAGAGGGGATCGATCGAAGTGTGGAAAGGAGATCGATCGGAGGGGAGACTATTAGAATGTTACATTATCCCTAAGTAACATAGGTTATATTTATTAACTGAAAAAATTGGGATCTTTTCTAAAACTGTAATAATGTAACTCAAGGTGTAAAAATTTATTGCGCTGGGGAAACTATGAAAGATAGAACAAAGATATAGCCTTCAATATCAACATATCAAGATCTATAACAAAAGTGACCACCTATTAGAAGCAGTGACGGGCTTATAGTTCATTTAAAAAGAAGAAGACATACTATATATAATAATGTAATGAGTCTTAGAACGACCGCCGTCTGTCCATATATAGACCACCACAATGACCAGACGCCTTAGAAAACGGTTATTACAAGTTTCCTTCTCTGATATACAATATCTTTATAATATTAATAAGGATAAAAATAAATGAAATGTATTGTATAAGTGTTCGTTTTTCGCGACAATTGCTCCGACTACATCCAGAAGTCTTCAGGGAGCTCAGCAGCAAAACAACTCCGAAGGTACTCTAGAAAAAAAATTAAGTTCTTAATATAAAAACAAAGTTAATAACTAGGATACCATTCTGATCATCTGGATGAATGGTGGTCCTTCACTGTGCGTTTTTTTTAAAGACTATTTGCCGTGCCCAACCACATTCTGGTATCACCTGATAGAAACGGTATTTCGGAACCGATACGATATTGAAAATTTAAAGAAAAAGCTTAACTTTCTGGGCCGGCCGCCAACGCACTTGCGATTCCCTTGGTGTTGCCTGCCCTGGGTGGTCAAGGACGGCGGTAATAATCACTCACCATCGGGTGGGCCGTAAGCTCATTTGTCCCCTATGCTTTTTATAGCGTTATATATTAAAATCCCGTACATAATTATATTAGTGTAAAATAGACTTTATAAATAATACAAAGCAAATCTATTTATGTGTTTGCAATTGTAACAGTTTTGGTTTGGTACTTATAGCTAAGTAGAAAAAGTTTGCGTGCAAAATCTTCAAGTTGTAATTAACATAATAAATAATATATATATTATACAAACACTTACAAGGTTGGACACGCGAATATTCTATGAAAATATAATGACCTAAGAATAATAATGACTTACTTAGCGGAAACTGTTAATTCTAACAAAATGTATAATGTCTTAGTTTGGTTTATGAACTGATAATTGCATAAAAGCATTTATTTAAATATAACACAGTTACAAAATATATGCCTACTACACTAAACTGTAATAATATCATACTGTATGTAATATAAAGACGCTATATTTAAATTAATTGCAATTAGGTATATATAGTTAATGTTGTAGACATTGGCATGTCCTATTGTAGAGTAAGTGGTAGTTTTAGAATATTTTTTATTTATTTTGGCGTATATTTGCACTTAAATTGCTTTAGCAGTGTTTTTCAAACTGTGGGTTGCGAACCCTAGGGACGCCACGAATCATGTCCCGGGGGGCATGGGTAAAAGATAAAAACAGTTATTTATTGGTATGTAAAAAATCTACTATTGATTGTGGTAGGTTCGCGACCCTGAAGACCTTTTATACTGCATGTTTAACCAATTTTATTGTTACTTTTTAAACCTTCGACATAAGCCAGCAGAAAGAAGAAAGCTATGAATAGCAAAAAAAGTATAGAATAGCAGAAAGCTATGATTATGATTGAAAAAATATATGGCAATATTGCCTTGTTTGTGGTTTGCTGAAGAAGTGCTCTATTAGACACAATGGGATCATGTATTGAAAAAAAAAAAGTTTGAAAAACACTGCTCTATCATATGTACTTATAAACGTAGATAGCAAGAAATAACGCTTTTTGTTTTAAAAATAGAAATATGAGATATTGATTTTTCTTATTAAAATATTTACTTTTTATGTGATATTTAAGGTAGACTTTGTAGGAAGTCATCTGCATGAATGCTGTAAGATGTTTGGAGATATGGCAGTGAAATTACAGTCAAGAGGCATTGCTTCTCAGTCATGGCTAAGATATAATTGTAGGGTCTAGAACTCTAGGGGCATGACGCCTTAGTCAATTCTGGAGAATGGCCATGTACGGACTACTATGGACGCCACATAATAACGTGATAAGCACTGTTCATGTTTGTTTACTATTCACACAGTTGCATACAAAATAACACGTATAGATAGCCTAGATTTTTTTAATGGATGTTAATGGAATAGTGCACCCGATGGCGCTAAGAGTTTATGCTGGCTGGGCACCAGTAGAGGATGATAAGATGAACATGAAGTCAGGTCAGTTAGCCCATCGTGACAAATTCACCAGGAATTTATCATGGATGATTGCTCGGGTTACTCGCGTGGAGGTCATCCTGACATGGTACATTGCTAGCAATGGTGTTATTAGTCCACATTATTAACAATCCCATTCCATTGTCATAGCTTATTAAAAGAACGCAATCGTTTTCTCGTGCATTTGTATTTGTACTGTTTGTAACACGATAACTCAAGGTCTGGACGGCCTCGGTGGTTTAGCGGTTAGCACATTGCCTTACTCGCGATTGGCACGGGTTCAATCTTCGCGTAATACAAGCTTATGTATTCATGTGTGTATGTCTATCAGTTGACAAGTAAACATAGTAGCTCTGCTTAGTTTGGTACTAGATGGCGCTGTGTGAATTGTCCTGGGTTGTCTATATTTATTTAAAATATATTTACCACAACCTGTTGAATTTATACTAATAATATAAATGAAAAAGAGTTTCACGACGTAACAAGCGTTAAACTAATATTGACAAGTTCAAGCACTCTTCTAAAAATATCAATATAAAACTTTGTAAATGATAAGTGACGTGTAGAATTAGAGTAATTACATTGTTCTAGACATCAATTAAAATAAAACCCTTTAGTTTCTAATCTTGACGGCTTCGGGGGTCCTGTGGTTTAGCGCCTTACTTCCGATGGTCGTGGGTTCGATTCCTCTCACGGCACAAACATTTTATATTCATGAGTATGATTGTTTGTATCGGTCTTCGTTGCTATGTATAATATGTACGTATTTAGGTATTTACCAAAAATATATATCTATGTATTTGTGTCAAATGTCTAGTACCCATAACACGATGATATCATTATTTCATATTATCAAATTTTATTTTTTTACTAAATCAAAGTTTTTGACACACCTATCATTAATGTCAAGTTGAACTAATTTGATTGTATAGCGGTGTTTACACTGCAGTAGTGAGACTGTAAGGCGGTGTTTACACTCTATTAAGGACGTTATAAGGCGGAGTTCACACTCTTTGTAGTGGTATTACATGCCGGTATTCAAATTGTTTGAAGTGGTATTGTGAGGTGATGTCCACACTGTAGTAGTGGTATTATAAGGATGTGTTCACATTGCAGTCGTGCGGCATCTGCTCGATGTTCCCCTCGTGCATGTCGTTGCTGTCCCGGCGGCCGGAGCAGTCGGCGCCGCGGCCAGGACAGGCGGCCGTCGTACTCAATGTATACGACATGTACTGGACCAACTGGTGAGTATTGTTTTTTTTTTTTTAATAATAATAAATATATATTTCATGGTATTCTATTAGTATTCACAAAAAAAATAACAATAAACATCATGTAAATAAAATAATTTAAGAGAATGGAACAGAACTTCGAACAGAACGTAATTTCGATCGTCCGTGAATTAGATTGCGCCCCCGGTCGCTCCTCCAATCGATCCCCCGAAATTGGAAGGGGCGCCGGTGTGGAGCACCTGGGCACGCGCAGGCGCCCAGTAGATTGCGCTGTATGGTGCGGTTTAGGTCGTCATCTTCGCCAGCGAGGACGGTGTCGTGTGTGTATGTATAAACGTAGTGGGTACGGAATGAAATGGCGGAACGGGAGGAACCGTAGGAGATTTGCTGCCGTTATGGGGTCGTCGGGAAAGATATAACGTTTTTTATACTGTAATTTATTATTTAAATAACTGTTTGTATATGTGTGTGTGTGTGTGGGACGGTAGGTACACTGCGGGCGCGGGCGTGGGCGTGTTCCACAGCGGCGTGCAGGTGCACGGCGCGGAGTGGGCGTACGGCGGACACCCGTACGCCTTCACCGGCGTGTTCGAGATCGCGCCGCGCGACGAGCGGGAGCTCGGCGAACAGTTCCGCTTCAGGTCAGCATGGATACTGTAGATGCTATGTATCTATTCTAAATTAACCTCATACAAAGACATTAACTAATGTGATAAAATCTCCCAATATTATTTTCAAATTAAATTGAAAATTCTCGAGTTGATGGGAAATAAAAAAAAATTAAATACAAAAAAAAGCTGAATTTAAAATTCAACAATATTTATTATTTATTTAGTACATTATTATTTATCTTAGTATTGATTGCTAAGTCTTTTTTAATTCTTATAATTTTTTGGAAAGGCAGTACCTACTATCCGTCGCTACGCTTCTGCGTCTAAACGCCTAATGACAAACTATATATTCCAATGCGTCGATTAGATTTATATAAAAGAAATGTATTCTGTATGGCAATTAAAGTGTACAACTATCTTCTAAACGCAAACTGAAAAATAGTCTGTCGTTTAATAATTTTTACACTGTCCGAGATGATCTGAAAATAACGAATACTTTCATATAATTTGCATGTCTTATAGTAAATATTGCTTATTAATAATATTAATAATTTCATTACAAATAGTACTGTGTACCGGCGTAGTGTAAAAAAGCGCGCTTTTTATTCAATCATAGATTTGATTAAAAAGTTCTCCGATGATTATGCTCATCTCGACTTTTGCGTCGATTTCTCGGTTTTTGCCTACCCAACCAAGTTGAACCTTCTTTGTCCCTTTATTATTGTTCATACGTTCTACGCACATATATTATAATGAATATATATTACAATAATGTAATAATATATATTTATATTACAGGCAAAGTGTACATATAGGTTATACAGATTTCAGCGAAGAGGAAGTGCGGCGGTTAGTGGCCGAACTCGGCAAGCAGTTCCGCGGTGACAGGTATGTATCATTTATGTTTTTACTTACCGATTCGATCCTAATTTCGTCCATGTGGTGTTATAATGACAATACTACGGGGTTGAAAGGGGAAATTAAAGGCTGTACGGATGTATCGTTGCTTTAAAGCTAGAAGCGTGAAACCTATTTTTTAGGCTGTTCATTAAAAATAAATTAACATGACATTTAAAGTTTGTATAAGGGTAACATTATTAAGGGTGAAATAAAATAGGGTCGAAAGTATGTATGGAAAAGCTAGAACAAAGAAACTTTTCTTTTGGATTAGATTATTAAATATATTTTATTTATTTGGTTATTTAAATTATGATCATGGATCACTATTTAACGCGGCCGAAGTCGTGGGCAGAGCTAGTAATTAATATCACTAATGAACGTTTGTCAACTCAACAACAGTTAGTAATAATATAAATCAATAATTATATTATACGCTATCTACGTACCAGACACGCCGGTTTAATTAAATAGTTCAACAGAACGGAACTGTACGATTGTGCGGTCCCAGTTTATCGTTATCACGATATTATCGCGCTTGTCAATCACAATAAGCAATATCTGCTAGCTGACATTTAGAATATACGATTTGCAAGTTTGAATTGTATTTTTTTTTTATTTATATATTTATTTTAGATTTCATCCATATTTTTTTTTTATTGATGATAATGGAATGTTGCACCTGCGCTAACGGTTTACGCTGGCGGGGCACCAGTGGAGCATGATAAGATGAGTATGAGGTCAGCTCAGTTAGCTCATCGTGATAAATTCTCCAGTAATTTGTCACACTGGTTTCCAGGGGGTACCGCGTGGAGGTCAATCTAACATGGTACATTGCTAGCAATGGGATCATCAGTCCACATTACTAACAATCCCCTTCCCCCCACCATATTATGTTAGTAAACAACATATAAGCTATGTTAATAAATTATCAGAGCCATGACTGAAATAGATATAATCTTTATTCAAATAAACTCAGTACAAGTTCTTTTGAATAGTCACATTCTTTCAAGAGCGAGCAAGGAACTTGTGTATTGCTCTTTTGAATGGAGATTAATAAAAGTAAAGAACCAATATGAACTGATTAAATTAGAAACAAGTCTACATTTGCCTCACTTTGACTTATGGGATTTATTGATAATATACAAAAAATTTACATTTACTAATAAAAATTCAACATTTCAATTAAAGATTGTTGCTATACTTTTCGAGCATCCGTTTCGTTGCTTAGAACCGAAATATTACTTACGAGCTGTGCATGAGGTTTCACTCGCATGAAATTTAAGCCAATGTGTTATTCTGATGTATAAGCTATATTTATTACTGTAAAGTTTCATCAAATTCCGCTCAGTAATTTTAGCGTCAAACAGTAACAAACATCTATCCGTATGCATACTGACAAACTTTCGCGTTTATAATATTAGTAAGAAGTAAGATTTGAGATGTCGCTAAAGATGGTAGTAATTTGACTCAATCGATTATAACCACTGTGTTAGAATTATAGAACTGTAATTTGTAATTTTACATAATTTTAAGCATCAAACATTTTTTCTATGTATATTATTATTTTTATTTTTATTTATATATGTTTTATTTATTTCAGGCTACTAGGCCCATATTATAAATACCTTAAATGTTATGTCCTTTGTTGCAGGTATCACCTTATGAACAACAACTGCAACCATTTCACGTCTGCGTTTTGTTTGGTAACTATTATGAACTTAATTACATTTACGACTATAATCAGATGGTATTACGGTGTTATGGTGAATGCAATACTTGACATAGTTATTTTGATATTTGATGTATAAGCTATATAGCTTAATTTGATGAAACTTTACAGTAATATTACTGTAAAGTTTCATCAAATTCAGTGATAGTCATTAACAAAAGTATAAAAAAGCATGTAAAGAAATTACCAGTATATAATGAACGGCGGATAAACTATTGTACATAGGTTATCTACTGTATATTACCTCAAGGTGTTAAGTCCGCCATATGCATCTATATTTGTGCATTAAAATTTTATTAAATAAATAAATATATTCAATGCAATGTGCCATGAGACGAATTTACCTCCGTATTTCGAATTAATTGGTTGCCTTGAAATGATTGCTTTTAGGAATAAGGCCGACTTATTGTAATTATACTTACATGTGTTCTTTAATATATTATTTGTCTTTTCTTTACTGTTATTATATACATATAAAGTATAGTCTATCTATCTTTCTAATTAGGTTTATAATCGGTGTTTTCCATCAGAAATATAAATTGATACAAGGTATTTTTTGTCGGTTAGATTCGAAATAACGACTTTAAAAGTCTATAAGTAGAGGTAGTTACCCACTAAGGAATAGCGTTTATAAAGTATTTTAAAATGATTTCCGTTGATCATCATCAATGTCAGTTTGTAGCGTTTGTACAAGTTGTAATTATTTAAAGCAATGACGGCGTGGGAATGTTGACACAATGCTGTATCAGAGAGTCAACATTTGTTAATGAATAATAGAAACACGTGCTGCCTGTAACGATCTGGGCATTTTTTTTTATAATGGAAAGGTAGAAAGAAAACCCTCCTCTGCGCTAACGTTATACGGGTATACGCGGCGGGGCACCAGTGAAGGATGATAATATAACTATAAAGCCAAGTCAGTTAGCCTGTCGTGACAGATTCACTAGAAATTACGATAGATTTCGAGAGGAATCTGCGTGGAGGTTGACCTAACATGGTACATTTCTAGGAATGGGTTCATTAGTACACATGACTACTATAATAAATTAGATGGATGGATTAGAATGGATTTTAATGAAACTTTACTACAATATACCTTATACATCAGAATAATACAAAGGGCTATAAATTTCATGCGGCTACGTTTTAATGCGAAAAAGGAGTTGGAAGAGGTTGAAAGGGGGATGAAAGATTGTATTTTTAAAGCTAGAAGCTTGAAATTTATTTTTTAGACTGTTCATTAAATGTAAGTTAATATGACATTCAGTTTGTTGTTAATCTTAAGGGGGTAAAATAAAATAGGGGATGAAGATTGGATGCAAAAACGTAATTTTTTAAAGAAGAAAAACAATTAAACCCTTTTTGGTTTAGATTATTGAATATTTTTTAGACAAGTTCACTATAATACGCGGGCAAAGTCGCGGGTGCAGTAGTAGGCTATAAATTTCATGCGGTTGAAACCGCATGTTTTGTTTCGAAATGCGTTCTCGAAATAATTCGTTATTTCGTTATGTACAGGCGCTGTGTTCGCGCGACATCCCTGCGTGGGTGAACCGTCTGGCGTACGTCAGCTCATGCGTTCCCTTCCTGCAACGTTGCCTGCCCAAGTGAGTAAAATAATAATTTAATATTTACATTATTAATACTACATTTAAAGACAAACTTGGTGTTAATAAGTATCATTTAAAAGTTAATACATTTATATGCATAGCCTATTACTTAATAAATGACAATATGCAACAGAAAGCGTCCCTAATACTTCTATTAATATTGGTATTCTATGTTTCCGTCACCGGTGAGTCGGTGTAAAATATATATATGCATAGATTTTGTTGTGGGTCTTATATTAAATTAACGATCTTGAGGTACAATAGTACGATAGGATGTTCTCCGACTCTTGTCTCTTCTATTACAGACAAGAGTCGGAGAACGAAACTTCTGTAATACGAACTGATGATAGATTTCACATATCATAAACAATGATATGTCACATATACCGTCAGTTCAAATTCTTTTAAAATAAATAGTTATTAAACTACAGATTTTTTTTAAATTTATTTGGGAAGCATATGGTGTAGGTTTAAGACTGTTATCCCAGATGGGATAATCCTATATGTATGGTGTATGGTGTTGGTGTGAGTTGTGTAACGCGGGTTGTGTTGTGGGCCAGGGAATGGCTGACGCCGGCCGCGCTGCAACACTCGCTGGCCGCACACTCGCGGTCCTCCTCCCCGCAGGCGGCCACCACGCCGCAATAGCACGCCCGGTAACATTTTATCTATACACACCTATATATACTAACTACTCGCCCCGGCTTCGCACGGTGTACATATATTATATGTATATATAAACCTTCCTCTTGAATCACTCTATATATTAAAAAAATCGCTTCGAAATCCGTTGCGTACTTTTAAAGATTTAAGCATACATAGGGACAGACAGCGACAGCGACTTTATTTTATACCATGTAATGATGTGTCATATAAATTAAAATCGTTATTAAAAAATTGAGATTGTAAAAAAAAATGTTAGGGGTGGACAACCCTTAGCGCAACCACTAGTAGTATGAAAAATAGATAGTAACCGGTTCTCAGACCTCATTCAGTATTTATATTCATGCATATAAAATTTCATAAAAGTCGGTCAAGCCGTTTCAGAGGAGTATGGTAACTAACATTGTGACAAGAATTTTATATATAAATGGTAAAACTCTATATATTATGTTTTGCACTTTTAAATACAACAATTGAATTACATATTAGAAGTATTGTTAATAAAAGAGGACTTATCTCTAAAAGAGATCTCTTCCAGTCCTCATAAGACAGGAAAAAAACAGCATGACAAAGGGAATGGTGTGTCGGTCACAGAAGTGCAAATAATAAATTAGGAAAAAAGTAAAATAAACAATCTAACACTAAAGAATTAATGTCAAAAATAATATATAATTATAAATGCAATATATGTACGTATAAATAGCGTATACTTGCATATATATAAAGATTAAGAAAGAAAATTGAAATAGCTGTTTGTAATTTAAAATTAACTACTTTTCACTAAATGCAAATCAGATGGCGCTGCTATCACAGTAAACATTAGCTCCGTATGTTTTTGCTTTTTAAAAAAAATATACATCGTCAAGACCAATTACAACTAGTCAAAATTATAGAAAGTAGTCTAAATTCTTAGTGACAGTGTTATCTAAGCCTTGGACTTATTTAAAATTAACTTTTAACGAAGTGACAAGTCTCAATATTATATGCATAAAAACTCAAACTAATTAGTGATTGAAACCTGTGAAAGTAATTTATATTTATGTGTGGACCCATTTTACTGTAATTGTGTTAAAAACTGACAAAAAATAAACCTGATCAATAAAATAAAAAGGAATTTTACAATTAAAACTTGGTATGTACTTTTATTACTTAAGTGACGGTAGTAAGAAGTGTTAAAAGTGAAAGTATTAACGTTAAACAATTCAAAAACATTGTAATCAATATAGACACACAAATTCGACAAGTTATTCTATAAGCTTGTTGGAACATTCCGCAAGTACACCATTGATTGGAATACATGGCATTGTCGTCCGTGGTTCAAGCCTCGGCACAGCTCATTTAAATTTTTTTCATTGTTCTTCAAAATATTGCGTGTTCTTGATGAACGATTGTGCCTAAAGACTAACAATAACATTCATCGTTCATAATAACAAACATATTATTATGTCTCAGTCAAAAATAAAACTCGGGTGTTGCGATCGCAATGGCAAAAATTCGCAATGGTTCATATCCTATTTGGTTTTCACCTCACCTAATACATCTACTAAAACAAAAAAATAAATACCATAGAAAATTTAAGAAATATAAAAATCCACTGGATCAAATAGAATACGATTATTTGAGAGACGATTGTAATAAATTAATAAAAAAATGCTATAATATATATATAAATAATATTGAAGATGAATTGAAAAATAATCCAAAAAAATTCTGGTCACACATAAAAAGTTTGCGTAAAAATAGCTCATCATATCCAAATACCATGACCCTAAATAATAACACATCTTCTGATGCAAATCAGATTTCAGACATGTTTGCCAATCATTTTTCCACCGTGTATGAATGGGATGACGATCACAGTGACAAATCATTGGATGCTTCTGCAATGACAGTCCACACACATGACACAATAAGTAATATTCTACTGACGCCTCAGGAAGTTATTAAAAAACTTAAGAAGCTTGACTTTAAAAAGGGAGCAGGACCAGACAATATACACCCACTCTTTCTAGTGAGGTGTGCTCACACAGTGGCTCTCCCGCTGAGTATCATTTTCAATCAATCGTTGCAAACCGGGATTTTTCCCAGTGAATGGAAGGCAGCTAATATAGTACCAATATACAAGAATGGAAGGAAAGATGTGATATCTAATTACCGACCAATATCACTTCTGTCGGCTATGTCTAAATTATTCGAAACAATGGTTCATTCTGTTTTGTATTCTCACATACAAAAGTACATAATATTCAACCAGCATGGATTTATGGCAAGAAGATCAGTCAACACTAATCTTACACTATATATCTCAGAGCTTAAGGAAGCAGTTGATCAAAATGTTCAGGTAGATGTAGTTTACACCGATTTTGCAAAAGCCTTCGATAAAGTAAATCATAGAATTTTGGCTAAAAAATTGGATATGTTTGGAATAACTGGCAGCCTACTCAGGTGGTGTATATCTTACCTTCACAGTCGTTACTCAAGAGTCGTGTTCAATGGTGTGCAGTCTTACTCTTTTGCGGCAACTTCAGGAATACCCCAAGGCTCTATATTGGGACCTTTATTTTTCAATGTTTTTATAAATGACATCACAGATAATATTAAGCACAGTACAGGTTATCTTTTTGCTGATGACTTTAAATTAGTGAAGACGGTTGCAAATAGCTTGGACATGGAAAAATTTCAGGATGATATTGTTAGCCTTACTAAGTGGTGTAATGATAATAAAATGTATCTCAATATTTCAAAATGTTACCATATTAAATTTACCAGAAAACACAGACCTTTCAAATCAGGTTATTTTATAAACGGTACCAAACTACAAGAAGTCACCACATTACAAGATCTTGGTGTTCTCATGGATGGCCAACTAAGATTTTCTGATCACATCGATAAAATTGTGGCCGAAGCTAACAAGTCACTGGGTTTTATCTTAAGGAACTCAAAAAGTTTTAAAAAACCAACCACTATTATTCTGCTTTATAACAGCTATGTGAGGAGTAGGTTGGAATATTGCAGCATGGTTTGGTCTCCTACCTACAAAGTACACATAAACAGAATAGAAAGAGTACAAAAAAAATTTGTTCGTAGTTTGTCATATCGTTTCAAAACACCAAGCAATATTAAAACTTACAAAGACAGAACTAATCATTTTCTCCTTGAACAACTGTCCTTGCGTAGATCTTACCTTGACATGTCTTTTCTGTACAAGTTGGTAAATGGTCTCATAGATTGTCCTCCCCTACTAAATAAAATTAATTTTAATGTACCCACAAGAATACCACGTCATCCTTGCAACTTATTCAAAAGTAAAGTTTGCAGAACTAATTTGGGTCGTGTTTCACCTGTCGTCCGTTTGTCGCGCCTGTACAATGATTTTGCAGAGGAAAAACCTGAAATTGATATTCTTTTTGACAATCACTCCGAGTTCATAACTAAGCTCAAAAGTTGACGTTCCTTGTCACATATGTTTTATTGTATTATTGTTAGGAGCATTCAAGTTTAAATTTAATTTATTAATTAATTTTATTGACATTGTAATAGTAGTGACATAATCTTGTAACTTAAAGCATGCTGTGGTTACCTATAATTATGAGAACAGTTAGTTTAAGAACATTAGAATTGTATAGAATGATAACAATTTTTCTATTGCTGTATCTTATGTTGGTAATCCTTAAAAATAAATAAATAAATAAATAAATAAATAAATAAATAAATGCATGTTTATTCTCAATGGACTAGCGGACAAGATACATTTTGTTAATATTATTAATATCTTTTTGTTTTTCTACAGATGACGTGCTACGACTGTGCACATAAAGGGAACGAAGTGTTGTGCGAACTATACTTAGATCTAATAAGTTAGGTTTGGCGCATTGTCGATACATTATAAGCGTGTCACTTTATTATTATATCTACGACAGTCATTATCTATGTATTAAGAGTTTTCGGTACTTTTTTTAATACATAAAGTACTTTATGCTACATTTCTTAATCATTTACAAGCTCTACCCATTTTATAAAAAATAATTGTGTGTATTTATTATATTAATTAAATTATAATGTTAAAATAAATTGTGTGAAAGCGAAATATGCGTTACTTTGAATGTAAGTTCTTTTATTAACATTGAGGTCCAATTTTAAAATTTTCATGTTAATTATTTAAAAAAAATGTTTTACACCGAGAGTAAAACTGTAAGGCACGCCATCATGCATTTTGTTCTTATGACTTCTTATGAATTAAGCAGCTACTAATACCTGGTATTATAATAGAACCTACATTTTCAGTCCTTCTTTTGGTAAGAATGTTGAAAGATTTATATTTTGATGGCCTCGGTGGTCTAGCGGTTTAACACACCGTCTTACTTCCGATGGTCGCGGGTTGGATATGCGGTTGCGTACTTTAAAAGATCTAAGCGAACAGACAGCAAAAGCGACTTCATTTTATACTTTGTAAAGATGCATCTCTATAATTAAATACATTTCGTAATACGTAGTTCTAGGCGTCCGTCCGTTGTGATTCTCTTATTAAATGTTATCGTTAGTATAAACCAGTCTTGTAAATACATTAATAAATTTGTAAACATATTGAAAATTTAATTTTAATATCCGCAGATAAAGATGCATTAATAATATTATTAATGTCGACTTACTAGTATGTGGTACAGTGAAAATCTCATTTATGAATTGAATTTTTTTATTATTATAGCAAAATGTTGATAGTACTTGGAAAATTGAAATGAAAGTATGAATTAGTTGTAAAATTTAAGATTTGGTATATTTTCTATTATTAATGTTTTATTTATTTAATTCAGGCTGCTAATGACCCGTATTAGAAATACCTTTATTATATTTCGAATATACATAATTCCAGGCAATAAACATATAACCAATGTTAAAATTATATGACTGGAGCTTAATTAATATACTAATGTTAAAAAAAACAGTAATTGTAATAATTTATGGTATATTTATAACAAGTGCGCTCACGATAAAGCCGAAATTCTAACATCAAAAGGTTTATCAAAATTATGATAAAAATGCTAGGCAAGCTACCAGCAACGTTACTGACTAAATTTACAATGCATTTAATAGGTATATAATTTGGATTACAATGCAATGTGTGAACTTCTATGTATAACTATTTGCTAAGTTTATTTTTAAAGTGCCATTGTATTATAAATTATTCTGTGTATATAGTAAATAAATGCTATAACATTGTCGAAATTGTTATAGGAAATGAATTTCTTTAGGATTAAGCGAAGAATCATGGGCGGTCTGTTCCTATTAGTTTGATTTTGTCGAAATATTGTAATATACACGTGGTCAGTCATAAAGGTATCATCTATTTCAGACGGCATGTAGCTTGTTTTGTAAGCTGTGGTGGTATTGGGTGAGGTTTGGAAGTCACAAGTAATTTCGCTACTTAATCTAATAATGTCTTAGTCCTCACGGGTCATGCGATAACTTGATGTCCGTAGTGCTGCTCATGTATATACAAGCTGTTACCACTCACCATCAGTTGGACCTTCAGCTTGTTTCCCATTACAGTTACATAAAACAGCCAGTTAACTCATGAAATTTAACCAATTTTTTGAAGATCAGTGGGAATATGAAAATAATTTTTGGGCTGATCGTACTGAATTGATCACGTGATATGCTTAGTATGTTTTTTTTTTCTTATAGATGATAATGGTATAAATACCCGCCTACGCTAACGGTTTACGCTGGCGGGCATGAGCATGAGGTCAGGATAGTTAGCCCATTGTGGTAAAATCACCTTGAATTTATCACGATGGTTTCTAGGGGGAACTACGTGGAGGTCAACCTGACTTGGTACACTGCTAGCAATGGAGTTATTAGTCTAGATTACTATGTATGAACGTTTTAGAAATTATTTTCAATTTCCTACTTTATATCTTTCAGAATAGTGTTCAATTTTCAGATACTATGATTAGGACATTCGGCCTGGTGTACCCTTTATGATTAACTGTGTAGGTATACAATTAATTATCTTCTGTTATTTTTGACCAATGTACATTGAAATAATTTTCAAATGTTGTTAATTACATCTGTTCAAAAACTATTGGTATTTACTTAATAATGTATTAATAATAAATATTCTTTGTTAATTAATAAATAGTATATTATAATAAAGTCTTATTTAACTCGACAATGCGCCAACAATTTAGTCGATCACATAGACTCCGTTTTTTTTTCTAAATATAATATTTAATACTTTCTTTTTTAAGTTTTATGTGTGCCCTATTTCGGTAATATAAAATGTTCATACTCAATATATTGTAGTTATGGTCTCTATGTGATTGTAATAAGGTTTCATTCTAAGTGTCGGATTACCCACGATGATGTGCCACTCTACACCTCAGTGTTTCAAACTTAATTGTCGGCGATCCATAAATTACGGTATACGGATTTAAAAAAAAAGGGTGCCTTTCTACCCCTCCTCACGTTGTATTACTATGTGACATCCCCCTCCCCCATCTTCAGTTTGACTTTACATCTTTTGTAGTAATAGACTTGATGTAAACTCGCCATCAAAATAATATAAACCTTATGTGTAATAGGGATAAAGTTGAAAATGATTTTAAGTTTAATTAATAGTTCAAATTTGTTTTTTTAATCCTTACACATAATTGGGCCCATTGATGCCATAATATAACATATAATAATACTTACTATTATAATGTTAAATTCGATTTTGAAGTGTAACCCTACGAAATTTAGGATTCTTCACAGACCTTGTTTACCCCCTCCGTCCCTCACAAACCTCCCCTCAAAGTGTAACGTAATTTACGGATGGATGATTCTTTTATATTGTATGTGATTAGTTTAGGGAACTGCTGCGGTCCAACAAGTGACACCTGAGTTTCTTACTAATTCTCCAATTGATATGAACAATACCTACATATATGTACCTATTTTTGCTATGGAAGTGTTTTGTCCCTTTCAAGCGTTTGTTTGATGTAGCCTATGCACGAAGTGGTCTGTCGTAGTTCTGTCTCAACTATTTCAACTGTGAAATCGGCAGTGATATTACAAGGTACAGAGACACGTTTTTTTTTGGATGATAATGTAATGGTGCAGTTCATGCCTGCCTCGTATAACGGTTTACGCTGGCGGGGCACCAGTGGAGGATGAGAATGAGGTCAGGTCAGTTAGCCCATCGTGACAAATTCCCCAAGAATATATCACGATAGTTTCCAAGGGGAAGTTCTTTGGATAAGCCGGCGTCGCATGGTGACGTCATGTCAGCGGTGCAGTTCATGTATATAGGTCCTGATTAGGAAGCCGTGTACTATTTTACCATTTCTCTCAGATAAAATTCTCAACTTGAAAGATATTAACAAAATGTTTTAATAATTAAAATAATGTGTTTTTAAACTATAACCGAAAATGAAAATATACGTGATAATTTTCTTGTTGGACCTCAGTCTGAAATTATAGAATTATGCTGATCATAAAAGTTATTCATACGTATATTTAAATGTATTTTCAAATGATTGTGTTTAGTGTGTGGATGGCGAACTTAAACGATTGCGTGCCTTTATCACTTCCGAAAATTTGATAATGTTAAACTTATTATTCATGTAGGTAACTACCGAGGTGAGAGGCAAACTAATCATCTGCAGAGTGAAACAGACAAACAATAATAAATAAATATTTTTTGATTATAGATTAATTTAATATTTTTTGTTTATAATGCATGTTATATTCAATTGGTAATCTATATTATTTAAAAGTAATTGTGGTATAAAGTTCATATAATGCAATATGACATGGTCTAAATCATTGAACAATTCAGAAAATTACTGTGATTTCTCTTACATCTGTAGTTACCTTTATACTAAGAGCTCTTTCAGATACAATACATATACAAAATCTTGACTAATATGTCTTTCTGTTGAATGTTTTTAAAGAAAGTAAAGTAAGAACCATAAAGAGTAAATAAATATTAAAACTATCCCAATAATAACAATGCTATCAAATATAACTATTAAACTATTATGTAATCTATACAACACTGTTATATAGGAAATAGTTTCAACTTCAATAGAGTAAATAATAGTTTTTTTAAATGAAATCTTTATTGAAGTAATAATTATTACATTGTTATTTAAAAATGAACATAATACACGTGTAGTATAATAGTTTTTTTTAATCCAATGGTTTTGTAATTATTTTTTAAACTTCATTGTATAATATATAAATTGCAATGTAAACGAAGAAAATATTTATAGAAAATTCTTGCTAATTTTATATACAGACTTAATAATTTGTCTACTGCATGAATATTATTGTTCTATCTAAAAGTATAGGTACTTATTTATATATATGTTAACTTATTATATTGAAAGAAATTGAATTCTTGTTATCTGTATTACTTCAAACATGACTTTCTTTATATGAACCACTTAAATATTATAAACTCAGATAGTTTTTAATTTATCTCATGAGATTGTAAACCTATCGATAAATTGTGTACTGGAATGAAATTCTAGAGCATTCCATACATTCATCGTACGGGTGTCGGGTCCATCGTATGGATAGAGAAACTCCGGCCAGATCCCAAGATTTGAGACACGGGTGTAGGTTTATACGGCCTCGTTCCATTGTACATCGACACTCACCTTCACTACTCATGTTGCTTTCCATGACCAACCAAATCTGATAAGAACCTGATAGTTCAGCTTTGAATTCTTTTAATATAGAACTTAGTCTTTCTGAACAATTCGTGGTCTTTCAACAAGTTATAGAGATTTTGTTGGTATACCTCTAGCTTCTACTTTATGCAGTATATAGAAGTTTATTGTAATTTATTATAATATAGAAAGAAACATTGTCGACAGTTTACAATCTCGCAAAATAGATTCTAAACTAACAGCTTATAATCATATGGTGAAAAAACTTTCCACATAATCGTGTATGAAAAAAGTGTTTTATTTTTTAAATAATGCTGTAGGTAACTTATACGTAATCTAGGTCACAATTGATAATAAAATTTGTACTATATAAAAGTTGATATTTCATAGCTAAATTTAAAATTTATTAGGTAAATTGTAATTTCCAAATACCTACATACCAAATGGGATATTTTCTTCTAAACAAACCAAAGATTTGCTTTCAAGATTTTTACCTATAATATATAATCGTGTTTTGTGTCATATTAATATTAAAATTACATAAATATTTCTGATTGTCATCTATGACCGATATTTTGTATATATTACACACATTTTACTTGCAGCAACTTTGTTATGTTGAAGTTCATTATAAAATATACCTTGTTCATCTTACACTGATGTATGGAGTTTCAAGTCTTTTAAATATACATACACATAACACTTGGCCGCTTCATCATTGATAAATAATAAATTAAAAATAATTTTAGTTGTTATTTACCAGCGTCGAATTTAGGTTACCTGCTTTTAGGCTTTGCATTTATTTTTATTAACCGGTTTTGTGTGTGTGTACGTAGGTCAGCTGGTATAAGTGTGTCATATTTTACATTATAATTTTGATATTGAGTTCTTAAAAATACAAAGATTACTTCGATATAATTTGGGGCCCTCGCAGACACTCATTTCGGTGTTCATTGGGGACGTGACTGTACAAATTGGTTTAAATGACTCGTTTATTGTTTATGGTATATCTATATTTCCTTAAACTTACACTATCTTTTCGCCTTGAAAGAAATATCCAACTATAAAAATGTAATGTCAAAATATAAGTCTATCTAAAAGGCTGCCTTTAATAAAATAAAGTTGCATAACGCGCATTAGTGATAAGTCGGCGCTGAATAACACGAGGTATGTAGACCTCATATAAGAGAGTTCTTCGTCTGCGCAGGCCCTTGGTATTTATTTATCTATAGTCTGGTATGTGCGTACTCAATAAGATAATTTTCGAATATATTTTAGTTCAAGTTGCCGCTGCTAATTTCGAAAGTATCACATTTTATTATGGAGACCAGATTTTAAAGTTCTGTACATAGAAATTATTTCGCTATTTCCATTTACATGTTATAGCCATTAGTTTTGCTTACTTGACATCGAAAAAGGACGGATTTTATAGTAAACGAATCAGTTGGTAATGTAATGTATTGTAAACATTTTTACTAAAATTCATTGTAATTTGTTAACAAAAAATACTAATTATTAATGCAATTTCATTAATTTTTATGTCTCCATAAAGTAAAATATCTGCAGAAATCTACAGCGGTTTTTAAGTTAACGATAATCTTACAAATTGTGTAATCCATTACTGTGTATCTTATGTTAATATCCTTTTTTTATTGTAATGTAGTTAAATACCTATTTAGTGTTTGTAATTTTGACTATTTACAGTATAACTATATACTTTTAATTGTAATTAAGGCCCAGACATACAGACGGATTACTAGCTCTTTTAGGCGCCGTCTAAATGAAGACATCGTCTCTTGTATTGGAGTCTGGACAGTAGATGTGTATCGACTACTGTACTGCATTTGTATTCGGAAATATGTATCCATATATTCTTGTTATTAATATATAAAAGTGCATTGTTATTTGAACACTAACAAAAAAAAAACGATTTTAATATTGGAAAAAAATATATCAGGAAATTTTTAAAATCGGTTTAAAATTAAATATACACTGCTTACTACTAATTCAGCCGCTGGATAATTCCCGTCGCTGAAGTTCGGATACAAGAGTCCAGTTTGCTATTAGGGTCGAATGTTTTAGTTAAGCAATGTCAGCTTTTTATTTGATATCGGCGACTTGTCATACATCTATGTAATCGATTTGAGAAGTGTTGTAACTAATTTAGTATATTAAATAATACTGTTATAAAGTGTAAATTAACTGGTCCCATTTGATGAGTCGACTTACCCTTGTATAAACGGGTCGCTCATCGGATGGGCATGTAAAATATTCGAAAACGTTGTCAGACTAAAAGAAAATATTGGCAATAGATAATTTTTGAATGAATAAAACTGGGTAAAAAGTTTGTAATTTTATTGTTTCATTATATGAAATCCTTCAAATAACTAAAAAAATATTGAGAAACATTGTCATGTAATTAATCTATTTGTGTGCTGACTGTATTTAACCAATGTTCGGAAAACTATTATATCCGTTATTTTATACCACGATGTAACCTCTTGACAAATGTGTTTAAAGATCAGATTTCCTTTTTGATATGCGAGTCATATTGCAAAAGTGCAAACAAGCAAATGGACCCTTAGAAAGACTAGTTTTTCTAAGGGTTATCCATTTGCTATCTATGCTTCTATGCAAAGGAAATCTGTTCTTTAAACAGTAAATTTTTCAAGAAGTTACCCTGCGAATACCAGACATCGATATTTAGTAGTAATATTTCGTGAATCTTGTGAATCGCATACGACAACTAGATGGTATCTAGGCCGACTCGCCCGGCAATTATAATAGCCTGAAGCTTGAGAGGTAATATGACGTTTCAATAATTAGTACTACAGCATGCTTACCTCGATTCAAACGTTTTGTTTATTGCTCATTTCTCATATGTTATTTTACGTTTATATTATGAAAGAAAACAATTAAAATCTTAGTGCATACATTTTTATTAAAATTATATCATTTATTTCGACATAAACTTAATACCCACAGCACTTAACAACTAGACACGTTTTTACAGAAGCTATAGCTTCGGTCAGACAAACCAGCGCGCGCGCACATTCACACTCAAGTTACATAATGTAACTTATTAGAAATCTTATAGAAAAGAAAAACTAACCACGTACTACGAAAGCCTTCTCTTTCCATGAATGTTTTTGATACACTACTTTTGACAATTAATGATACATTTAATCTTTATTTTTAATAAGGAGACCCGATGTACACAAAAATTGAGACAATCAAAACTGTCATTTAACAATAGACAGGTACTGAAGACTAATTGGCAAATAATATGTCAAACACACTCTGGATTGTAGATTTGCAGGCAATGAACAATTTTTAAGAATTTATGACTTAGGAAAATTATTGCGTGTCATTCACATATCTCAACGTTGATAAAAGAAACTTTACAATGTACACGTATTAGCAATTTTGACCAAGCTATAGACAACATAAGTTGTATGTACAGCACAACGGAAACTGATGAAATACAATAATCGTGTGCAATTGCCTCAATTTACAAAATTAATGAGGAATTTAGTTTGTATTTTAAATTATCGATTAAGCTATTTACAAGCCAATATTTTCCACTAAATGTACATTTGTGAGAAAGTAGTGTTTTTGATTTAGTGATTTTAACTTGTCTATCTATATTGCTATTAAAAAAAAATCTTATTTATTATTTATAAAACTTTTATGTGTATCTGTGTATTATTTGCTGTGAAAAACCAAATTATTACATTACATAATACCTTATAATGAAAACAGTGCTGAATAAAAAAAAAACCTATTAAAACGATAATCACTAACAATTGATTTTTGATAATTGGTCGAATAGAAGTATAATAAATTTAATAATGATTCAATAGTGAAAAATCTTACGCCTTATAACTTTTTAAATAGAATATGTAAGACTTTTGACAAGTAACTTTGGCAAATACATGCAATTACTTTTTATCTAAACGTCGACGTTTCTGATGATAATTTACAAAAAAAAAAGGATACCATAACTAGATTACCAACACATAATTTAAAGTGTTCTAGTTTCTAAAATATTCAGATCTGCCTAGAAGTGCATATTTATATTTATAAATCAGTTGCTATCAGAAATATCAAATTATGGTATCCATATTTTCGTTTATCTACTTGGTAATTTTGGACAAGACTGTGTTACCGGGTTCCCTTCACAAACTGTTAGATGTTTCTTATGACTTATAACTATAATGTTCATCCTAACAGCATTTGCACGATTACTCGTGTAACGTTCATTCGTCACATCGTCGTCGGGCGGTCCGGTGTCTGTGTTACTTCTTGTCATTCCCACCACCGCCTTGCGTGTTACCTGCCGCGGCATTCGCGCCGCCGTAGTTCTGAAACAAGTCATTATAAACTTCTTTAACACATGTTTACAACTGCATACATCATATAACGGGGTCGATTGTTTCCCCTTCAGTAGGATGTTTGTTTAAATATCGTAATCTCGAGAACTTATAAATTATCGTGGTAACATCCTGTTATATGTGTACTCGTTATTTTAGTCGTTTTATAAAATATATACTTATATAATTTTAATTTTTTTTGTAAGTATAACTTTCTTGTCTAGTTTATCTTGGTTAAAGACATTGATGTATAAGAAACACAATTGTTAACATAATATTTGCTAATAACACATATTTCTATAATAATAATTCACTTGTACTCGTCACTTGTAATAACCCCATAGAAAAGAATAAACATTTTCACAAAACTACTAAACAAAAAGGGTGTAAAAAGTCAGAGATCACTTCACAACAAGCTAACCAAAAATTAAATACATTTTTCTTCCATACAGCGTTTTACTTAAATTATATTATAAACACTATTTTCCTTTCTTCGTGTATAATATATTAGTTTCGCTACACGGGCTTAGAGTAAAAATTGCAGTACTGCTATATTACCTGATAATATTGGGCCCAAGCCTGTGCATCCGCAGCGTTCCCTTGTTGTGCACCCTGTTGTTGCTGTTGTTGGTACTGAAACAATACCAACACTAATTAGTTACTACATTGCGTCAACATGCAATAGATATATCTAAATGTAAATAGATGTTGAAGAATAATAATTTCAAGTGAAATAATAAAATAAGAAAAATTAGTGCCCGCCTAATTTTTCTTATTTTATTACTTCACTTTAAAAAATGGCTAAACAAAATTATAAACATTTATTAAACGCTCCAACAATAGATACCGATACTTTTTATTATATTTTATGTAACAACTTTACATGATCTATGAAATACAATAAAGATATAAATAAATAGTTATAACAAAAATTTATATATGTAATTGGCATAGCAATAAACAAAGAATGCCTCAATACCCTGTTATTTTACTGCTATAACTCATCTTTTACACTGGAAAACACTTGCAATGCAAGATTTTTAGCGACTATTCTTTCTACATCAATTTGCAATCAGTCAAAGAATAGAGTAGATGTGGTGTGAGTTTTGCCACAATTTGAGTGATTCCTAATAGAATCATCATCCCCTAAAATTTTTCTTAATAATTAACAACTAAATACAAGATCACATATATCTGTACTGTTTGTATTCCTATATTAGCGGCTCTCGAACACCACTATTCTCTCCACTCGCAGCTTAATCGTCGCATGACGCCAGCAGTGTGCGAAAGAGACGACATAAGTACCTTCTCTTTCCCATATATACTTCAATGTCAATTCCAGTGGAGTAACAACCTTATTCTATAAGTAAACATGTGTCTTACCCCTTGCCAGCCTTGCTGCTGCTGTTGCCACTGTTGCCACTGGTACCACTGCTGCGCGGTGTAGTTAGCGGGCCACTGCTGCTGGTTCTGTTGCTGACCTTGCTGCCCTTGTCCCTTATTGTTACCGCCCTGCCCGCCCTGTCCGGAGTTCGCGTTCCCTGCGTTCTGATTGCCCCAGTTACCCCAATTGCCCCAATTACCCCAGCCTGCTGAGAATTACAATATATTACAAGACGTAAATAAATAAAATAACGAAAACAGAATGGCACCGGTGGTTTGGCGATTTAGCAGACAAGTCTTATTACCGACGGTCGCAAATTCGATTCCTTGCACTATGCCATCTTTGTATTCATGAGTATGATTGTTTCTATTGGGTCTGGTTGTTTTCTATGTATATTACGTTATAAGTGGTTTCGTACCCAAAGAAGAAACTAGATTCAATTTAGGATGGCGTTATGTGAATTGTCTTACTTTAGGCATGCATTGCATATAGTTTTTTTGTATCCCATGTGATAATACCCCAAGAAGATATTTCACCGATAAGAGCATACATCTTAAATTATAAATGAAAGAATGTACATTCCCAGTGTATGGTGGTGTACAGAATACCATACAATAAAGTATGTTTATGTAATTTCATCATCATGTATGACCGCAATATTAAAGTAATAATATCAGTATGAATAAATACAACAAGACATCTTTTATTTAATCATCCCCATATATAACAACATTCTCGTTGATGTTATATCAGTATCAACCAAGTGTAGGGATCAACCCGTAAAGGCAGCTTAAGGGGGTCTTCCTATGTGACGGCCTGTTTTTTAGGGATATTTTAGGATTTTTTTTCTACGACCAGTAAATATTTAGAGCTTCAAGTTTTTTATCATTTATTAACACATATTTGGACAGTATAAATATAAAATTTCAGCTAAAAATATTCAGTCAAACTAGAGTTACAGCGCTCTGAACACCCCCGCCTCGAAAAAAAGAGCTCCCACTTCCTCCACGATTCCGGCTGATCGGCTTATCTGAAAAAAAAAAAAAAAAAACGGGGTTTTAATTTGTAGGCTTAAAAGCACGGAATGACCTATAATCAAATGAATATAAAAAAAAATTGGATTTTTGATAGACATTTGAAATAAAAGTTGCAAATTAGGCTTTTTTTTTTTTTGTTTTTTGCTATAAAAAAATCGAAGTTTTGAAAATTTTCGATTGATAATAGTTCATTCCATGCGTTTACATATATTGAGTGTGCCCTGTAAATTTCAAGTAATTCGGTCCAGCCGTTTCTGAGATACAATGGAGGAAAGTTTGAAAAACACAGTTTTGAGAAAAACGCGTTTAAAGTTTCAAGTCCGTTAAAAACTTAAAATATCAACTTACTCTCAATCGGCGATGCCTGGTCCATAGAGTATTCCTTCCTCTTCCTCGTGAAACTCTTTTAAAGCAGATTGTTCAGCTCTTGAGTCAATCCTGGCTTGTTTAACGACATCACTTACGCGCCGCTCAGAGCGTAAGATTCGCTTTTCATCCCGTTTCTCAACATACGCTTGGGCTTCACGACCAACAGGGCATCCCATAATCGACATAACTTTTAAAATACCTTGAAAACCTTCATTAAAGATAATAACTGCTAAGTAGCTAGCAATTTCAACAACTTTGGGACCAGAATGAAGATGTTTAGGAGCGAAAGTCCAAATCAAAGAATTCAAAGATTCGTTATTGTTTTGTGTCTCTGCTCCTAAACAACGAATTAATAATTCGTCTTTCGATAAATCTTCGAAAACCGGTTTGATAGCTTCTTGGACTTGCGGAATTAGAGGTGGTTTATCGTGATGAAATTGGTCCAGTTCATTATTAGCTTCAGCCTTACGCCATTTACACCAACTGTCTTCGCCTTCTGGACAAAATTGATGCTGAGGGTTTTCATCAGAAGAACATTTGTGATAGTACGTTGCCCAAACTTCCTTTCTCATATCTTCAAGCGAATCTGGATGGCGTCGAATTGCTAATCCGTAGAATTTTGTAATTTCTTGGATAACTTTATCAGTAAGTTTACCTGCTCCTTTTCTGTTTAAGTCTGTAGAAACGTGTCTAAACTTGTATAAACAAATATATTAATAAAAGGGAGGCCAGGTATAAAGCCGACGGTACACAATAGGCCCGGTCTCTAACTGCCAACTCACCGCTCCGAACCGCTCTTTCTTTTACCTGCTGTATCTTTAAAACGACTTCGAATTTTCTAAAATCGCTTTACTACCGTATTCTAGACATGTTAAGGGAGCAATTTATGAAAAAAAAAAATCGATTTTTTCAACCCATCACATAGGAAGACCCCCTTAACACCTCAGGAATGGCAATGTACGAGATCATGTGAGAACGTGACCTCATATCGTTTATCCCAGTAAAAAAAACTCGACAGGGTGAAGACCGGTAACGTAAATGGTGCTATTATAATAACAAGTGCACTGTGATTAAATTGGGAATGTATCTGACGAAGAAAACAATGTTAATAATAGGTACATGACTAATTTACCTTGGTTTTGATTCCAATTACCCCAGCCGCCCCATCCGCCGGCCCATTGGTTCCATCCCTGTTGATTTTGTTGGTTCTGGTTCTGGTTTTGATTTTGAGAATCCTGTTGATAAATTAAAGACATTCAAATATTAGTATAACAGAAAACGAGTTTCAAGAAACAATATTACCACAACAAATTACTAGTACTAACTATGACGTAGGTAGATGCAATAGATTATATCTACGTAGATGATGAAGAATGATAATTTTAAGTGAAATAACAGTAAGAGAAAAATAAATAATGGTATGCTTTTGATTTTGTGTGTGACGTTGGTGCATGTGGGGTTTTTGGTTTTTGGGTGTGCATTTTTTTTTTCTTATGGATAATAATGGTATGCTGCGCTAATGGTTTACATTAGCAAGGCATTAGTGGAGCACGATAAGATGAGCATGAGTTTGAAATGAAATTGTTGAAATTTACTACAATCGTTTCCAGGGAGAACTGCGTGCTAGCAATGGGGTTATTAGTCCACATTTTTAATAATCCCTTACCCCCTGGATGTGGGGGTTGTGTGTGACGTTGGTGAATGAGGGGGTTCGTGTGCGTGTGAGTGGTTGGTGGATGGAGAGTGTGTGTGTGTGTGTGTGTGTGGGGACACACACTCAGTGACCTTGTTGGGGGGCGCGTTCCTGGCGGGCGGCTGCGCGGCGCGCGGCTGCAGGGCGCCGCGGTTGGCGGACTGCGGGCCTCCGCCGGCGCCCGGCCCGCCCGCGCCCGGGCCCGGTCCTCCGCCGCGCTGCCACGAGCCCGCACCTCCGCCTCCTGTCAATTAAAAAAAACTGTACTACTCTATTGCACAATCTGATTTATAATAAAATTCACAAATTAGACGAGTCATTTCTACCACAGTCATCACTGTAATGACAACGAGACCCCTCTATAGAAGGATAAAATATATGCGCAATAAATAAGAGGTGTGCACCTTGCGAGGGCGCGGGCGGCGGGCGCTTGTCCTGGTGGTGCGGGCCCCGCGCGGGCCGGTCGCGGCCGAACCTGTCCCCGGGCGCGCCGCCGCCGCCGCCGCCGCCGAGCGCGCCGGGCGGCGGGCCGCGGCCGCCGGGCCCGCGGTCGCCGCGCGGTCCGCCGCCGGGTCCGCCGCCGCGCCCGCCGCGGAATCCGTCACGATCGCGACCGAAGTCGTTCCCGCTACCACACAGAACATACATGTCGAACTTAAAGAATGATTAGCGAGTCCGCGACCTTTTCTCTTACCTATGATATTTGGCATAAAAATAGTTTTAGGTTTAAAACTGTTAAATTTGAATTAAATAGCAACAGAATTGTAAGGAAGCCGATCACAGTAAACTAGTAAAAACCGCCCAAACCGGTCGAGCCGCTTCTAAAATTAACGCGCACAAACGCACATAATAAAAATTATAATAGTCGGCTTTCATTATCGTAATCGAGTTCGTCTATAACAACATTTCTCATAATTCTTTCATGTACAGACAGCGATCACTTCAACATTTATTATATATAATTAAACATATTAAACACACTTACGAAAATGAAATGAACATTCTTTATCGTTCTCCTCAGAGAAAAAAAAAACAAACATTACATACACTATTACGTATAAACATACAACAATTAGCAAGAAAAGGAGGCAACAATGGGCGGCCTTATCGCAGAAAAGGAATTTTTTCCGGGCGACCTTAGTATAAAAAGGAGCGATCGATCAATCAATCAGAAGCATGTTTCAAAATGGGCATTAAAAATAATAATAGCAGGTAGTGTAGTATACGCACCCCCTGCCGGGCAGCGGCGGCCCCCAGCGGTCGAACCGGCCGGGCGGCCCCCCCGCGCCGGGCCCGCCGCGGTCGCGCCCCCAGCGCCCGCCGCCGCCGCCGCCGCCGCCGCCGCCCCCGCGCGGGGCCGGGCCCCACCGACTGCCGCCGCCGCCTCCCCACCGATCCTCTGCACACACAAATTACATTATAACGTTTCCTCTTTACCACTCTTTATACTTACTCGTACCATCAATCGTTACTCCGAAATACACAACGTTCACGACGTATACGAATGTAATATATAAAGCTGATACCATAAAAGTGGATATACCTGCCGAAGTTCTCTAGGGAGACTACGGCCTAGTATTTTTCAAGAAGGGTATATTAAAGTTTTTTAAAGGTCGGCAACGCGCACGTCACACCCCCGGTGTTTCAGGCGTCCTTAGGCTACGGTAACCGTTTATCATCACTTCAAACAATAACGGTTTAGCATTAGAAAGACGCATGACGTGATGTATAGATAACGAGGATATATTCTTAGCCTCTACACCCCACGTATGTGACGTTTAAACTACATATTGTTGTAGATATCAATTCACCTATACATATTTTTTTAATGACACAACGTATCTCAGTGACCATCATTGGGCTTATCCCTCTCCTTGTACTTTTACAAACAGACAGACCATAATCTCTTCTCTTTAAAGAGCGGCATTAGTAGGCAGCCACTTGACATTACAGCCATTTGACAAATTTTCCTAATCATCAGTAACTATTAAAAATATGGAATCCAATGCCCTCAATGGTTATTCCCAAAATATATGAGAATACTAGTGATAATACATTTCCTCTTTTATACAAAAAACCAACACACAGCTTGTAATTTAGACCCCATAATTTAACATTAGTCCATATTGATCCCAATACTATCAATTCTATTTCAACTCAAGCTATATTAGAAGTTGTGTGGTCATTTATTATCAATAAAATGCCTTCATTCATTAAAAAAATATCATGTAATCAAAATGTAATCGATTACAAAAACACAATCATTTTTCACATATGAATGACAAAACAGCATAACATACAAAACAAAAATAATTTAATTGAGAACCTCTCATCCACTTCAATCCATACAAACTCCTTAGTATTATAATATTAGTAGATATTTCGATTGTTTTTCAACATCTTGGTTAACAAACTGATATAAAACCTGATGAAAAGAAGTTAGCAGGTATCTACATGAGCTCATCACTATATCATTTATTTTATCACTTGTACGTTATCACAGTAACAATTTATTGACCATATGTTTTAACTTACTTAACTATATGGCAGAGATTATAACTACCATAGGTACGTACCACTATGAGTAATAAAAAGAGCTGCCCATAGAGCATTCTCTATTCAGCTGCGTGTGATACGCGGGGGTGAATCGGTGAGATTACGAGGCTGGATGACCGTCTGCCTATTGCCTCCGTCCAACAATCTAGTGACCCAAAAGCAAAACGTTCGTCGCAATTTTTAAAGAAAAATCTATGGTTATTAGCTTTATTTATTGAAGTTGTAGATCCACAATATTTTGTGTCTGCTGCTGCTTGTTTGTTAGATCACAATTTTTTTCAGCCAAATTTTGCAGACCCAGTACCTCTGTATGAATATTTGTAGGTCGCACATGTCTTTCGTGAAACAAAGCTTCACTATACTCATGTTTATCCAGTTTCTGCACTACGAAAGACCTTTTGTCGATAAATTCAAGAGGCAACTTGATCCAATACAGCAGCGTATGTGTGTTGTATGGTAGCTTACCCACATGTTCGATTGTTTTAAGCGTAAATATAGACCAGAAACATCATCATTGTACTCGAGAATGCCACGAGTTTTAAGATTGTGCGAAACAGGAGTTAAAGCTCACTCGATTTAAACACCAATATTACATACCTATAAAATCACCAATTTTATCATGGTGACAAAAATAAACCCAATTTTCTAATGTACTACCTACCTACCTTACTATACACCCATCACTCTACGCACACATTTTACATAAATTGCATTCTCTTTATGTATTTTTTTTAATTATTATTATTTTATCAACACTCAAATTTGAATTAATTTATGTAAAAGTTGGTTATAAGATAAATCTGCAAAGCACAATTAGTACGAATTATTTTATTGTGCGTTAATGAGTATCTTCTGTCCACCGTCGCAGTCATATTTATTTATGCTAAAGCAGATTTCAAGTCCTGTCATATAAAAATACCATAGTAACATATTTGTTCCTATCGACTTTTCCTTTGACGATATTTCCTTGCGCCGATCACGCTATCAACCATTGCGTAAGTTCTATCAGGTCTGTCTGTGTGTTAACTTGTTTGTCATTTCTGATTTACGAAAAAAACATATTAAGGCACACGAGTACAAGATACATGAACCGTACGGTAACCGATTAATAACATAAACAAGTCAATAAAAACGGAGAGACAAGGGAAGCCGAGTGGGGAACGGCGAAGAGGTGAGATGAGGACATTAAAAAGCGCGGTAGTGGGTACCTCTGTCGCGGGCGAAGTCCCGGCGCTGGTTGCGGTCGTCGCGGGCGTGCCTCTTGTCTGAGGAGCGCGGCCGCTTGGCGGGCGGGGCGTCGCGGCTGGCGGAGCGCTCGCGCTTGTCCTTCTCCTTGGTGACGCCGGCGGCGCGGGCCTCCTTGTGGAAGGCCTCGACCGCCTTCCTGGCCTCCTCCTCGGCCAGCTCGGGGTACAGCACCTCGTCTACCCAGGAGCACTTGTCGGGCAGCGTGAAGTTGGCTGCGAACAGAGGCGCGTGTGAGCGGCGGGCGGTGGCCGAGCGGAGAGCGGGGCGAAGCGCTGCGGGCGCCGGACCGACCAACACCAACCTTTCATGTCCACGACGGCCCCGTCGGGCACTTCCTTGCCGTCGGCCTCCTCGCGCCGCTTCTGGCGCTCCTGATAGGTCTCGTCGTCGGTCACTATGACGACGGCGATCCGCCGGTAACCGTCGAACTCCTTCATTTTGCGCCTCTGAGCCGACGGGTATACGTTCGTCTATTACCAACGCGATATCGAAACCGCGGCAATATACGTATCCGTCGCCGTCCCAGCAGAATTGATGTGAAGCAAAACAGTTTCGTTATAGGTATCGTCCGTGGCGTTATTGCGTATGGCAGTACACCTAGAACAAGCTCAATAGAGATCCGAAAACGCTTAGTTTCGTTCAGTAGGTACACTGCTTCCGGACTAAGTACTTTTACTTACCTATATCTAGAAATAATATATTATTGCCTAAGTTACTACGGAAGCAGTGTAGTGTACAGTAAACTTAACTACGGCTTAATCTTACTACGTACCTTGGTGGTGAATGAGAGAAGTGGATGACATTGTTGTAGGTAAATAAGTTAACGAATGACGATGATTGAATATATATAGGTGGTCCACCAATTTGGGATAAGGTTGATTAAGATCTCGATTGTTCCTGAATTAAGTGCGGCTGCCAAAAAATGTATCACATTGAGTATAGAGTGAAGGTTCTCACCTGGTCGAGGATATAATTTCTCCTGCGTCCTTTCGCGATTTCCAACAACTTTAGCACGCATTTAGCGCACTTGGAGATCATGGCGTCCCACCTTCCCTCGTAGCTGGATCGGAATGGTTTACAGTCCACCTGGATCGACGTAACACGCATACAGTGAGGCGAACGCAAACAGGCGCGTTAGCACTTACTAACTAGCCTTAAAACTATGAGAAAAATCATTTTTGATACCAGCGACTTGGTGACCTGGCAGTCGGACGTTTGTCCTCTTGAGTCGACGATCCACTGGTATCATATAACTAGAGGTACGACCGCTAAAGGTCTGTCCTCTTCACTCGGCGATCCACTGGTATCATTTAAATAGAGGTAAGACCGCTAAAGGTCAATATTTTATAACGTTTGATATAGAAATGTAGCTCATATTGCACCCTGTTGAAAATATAGTATTACATTAGTATCAAGTTCAAGTTTGGAACCGTAACTCATTCTATTATTGTTGTCAAACCTCAAGTGCTGAAATAAAATCAAATATAATTAATATTGTATAGTGTTATACGAGAATTTGAGTAAGTATGCGAAAATATGGTAATTTAAATGGTAAATATATGTAGTTGGACTTCGACACATTGCGGTACCAAAACTATTTTGGGCAATTTATCGATTTTTATATTAGGCAAACTATATTTACTATTATTCATCAACATTCTGGACTATACTTGCATTCATCACCTGTCATTAATGACAAAGCGCGCATGAACGAAGAGAATTCAAATATCTATTACTACATTTGAATTATAACCGCGTGTAAATCTTTATTTCACTTTTCAGTGAGAATTACAAAAACATTTTTATAAATACTTAGCATCATATTAGTAGTAACAGCGTATAATAAATTTGAGTAATTCAGCGCATAGCTTGTGCATTAATTTGTCACTAAGTTTGTACATAAACTGAACAGAGAAGTGTCAGGCTATGCTCGCGTTGACTTTTCATTTGTCGCCTGTCTCGTGTCGAAGACTTTTATATTACAAATATTATTTACATAAAGATATATTTATCTATATAATACTTATTTATCAACATAAATATCAACACCCATTTCAACACAGAAGTTAAATAATTTTTATTTCATCGCCACAATCAACAATAATTAATAGATTCTTGAATAATAAACTCTTTTTTTTTAGATTCTGATATTATATGCTATTGCATATAATCTAAATTATTATTTAGACAACAGTAAACAATTTTTACTATTTCCATAAGAGGCAAAATACAATATTTGTAATTTATTCTAGCACTGTATTATTTACTAACTAATCGTTAACTAATGGCAGTTATTATCAAATTATATGATACAGTTAATCACTATAAAATATGATACGTAGATCGCTCGTGAATACAATATTTTATACATATATATGGACTTTTATATAATTATGTATATGTATTTTCATATAGTGGTGTTATTACTTATATGCAAATATATTACGCTTATTTTCTGTTAAATGCTTATATACTATTTATGGCAGCGTACTAAAAATAAGACTTAAAATATTTTCATATAAACGAAATATATATACTGTATGCACATAAAAAGTAAACAAACTATAATAATAACCTGACTTATTAAGTCGGTTGATACAACGAGTACATACAAGACATGTTTTTTTCATTTATAAGTGCAAAGATAGGTAACTGAGAAACCTTATATCCCAAGGTTTCCCAGTTCATATAGTATAAATTGCAATGAAATATAATTTCATGTGGGATTCACTCAAATAAATATTCATTTGGGTGTCTGAATATTTATTTTCGAATGTGCTACAATAACGTTCATGCGCGCCTCTTAAAAGAGAGTATTGTATTGTTTCAAATATCCAGTCATAATGTCGCAATATGCCAAAGCCTCAATTTTTATGGTCTCAAGACTATAAAAATATAATTAATTAGAATTACTGTAAACTATAGAGTAAAAAAAAATATTTGAAATCACCAATTTTTATATATGTGATGTTTGTTCTGCACGTAAGAATATGTAAGCATTACTTCTATCCTGTCCCTTCTTTGATCGGTACAAGGAATGGAGGGGGTGGGGGGAAGATACGATTGAAAATTTATTTATAAGGTTATTTTTCAAACGCATTCTGTAAATTAGATACTTTATTAATAACGGGCCGATTTGATTTTACGGGGAATAAAGTCATATATGATTCATCATATTTCAATTGAAAAATGTCATAACTATAGTAAACAATAAACAAAATAATATTGTGACAATAAACAAACAAATTAAATAGTTAAAAAAAAAAGCTACTTACATTTATAGTGTAGGAATACTAGAATTTGATAAGCTATAACTTTTTTACATTAAAAAACATCATTGCACTATTAGTTTTTAAATATACCAAAAATAAATTTTATCCTAAAACTAATTTACTTTACCGATCAAAGCCCGTAATAAGTGAGATGTCGGTGTAAATGTATAGTGTGTAGTGTGTAGAGTATTATCGGGGCGGCGTTTTACCTTCATGCGGTCGAATAGTGCGCCGGTGGACACGAGGTTGTATCGCCGCTCGGGATGTTTGGCGGCGTGCTCCTTGGCCCAGTGGGTCTTCCCTGAACCCGGCATGCCCACCATTAGGATCACCTGCCACCCATCAAAAAACATTTATAATCCTTACTAATATTATTATGTATGTTGTGTAATACCCATAATACAATAACTGCTTATCATGGGACTAGATGACGTTGTGTAAATTGTCCCCGGTTATTATTTGGATGAAGATAAAGCTGTTTGCGTGATTACACTACTTTCTCTCATCATTTACTTATAATTTCAGTCGTTCAATGATCTTAACAGAATGGAGTGGAATAGAAAACTCTAAATTAAAAACTATAATTATATATACATATTTTATAATTAAAAAATATATAAACTTGACAGTGCTTTCCAACCTTTTTTGTGCTATGTCGTTTAAACCTTAACCTTTCTAAAAATCTGCCCTCCAATGTAACACCCATAATTTTTATATTAAAAAATTCAATTGTTCACTTTAGAAACTTAACTGGTTTCTTATAAGAATGTCTATATTCAGTTCCATAAATTTGGCAATGAAATCTTATATTGCATTCAAATGGCCCGAAGCGAATGGGTTAAACTCGTGTCGAGTCCATTCTCGAATTGCCCCCACGTGTAGCGTGGGCCACACATATTTAGATATAATAGGTATGGAATGTACCTCGCAGTCCTGCTTGGTGGCTGGTCGACGAGGCCCCGGCACGAGCGCGGTGTAGAGCGCCAACAGCACGTAGCCGGGCACCAGGCACGCCTCCGCACCTTCCAGCTGCTCCTCCGCCGTGTGACTGCAACGCATCACTCATATTACCACAGAGAAATAATTTGCACAGGTATGGCGGCAATAATTATATTATGTTAGTTACCAATATAAACCTTGTTCAGATTTAAACTTACGTTCAGTCTTTCATATCATTTATTTGTTACAAAAGATGTCAAATTATAAAAAGTAATATAATCTATATATAAAGGTATTGTACAACACTCACCGAATGACAAATTTGATTCTTTTGTCCAAAACATGGCCTCTAAGCACTTGCTCCTCAGTCACCTCAACGACGTCATCATCCACTGCAAACAATAAAAATATGTCAACATTCATTTATATAACTTTTAATTGTAATACTTCATTAATTTATTTTAAGTACAGTAGTATATGCAAATAATTTGATACAAAACCTTGCAAAGAAACAAATATAAATTGTCTACATAATTATTTAGAAATTCATACAAATAACATATTATATTATACAAATAAAAATTAGAAACACCACCTAACAAAATTTTTACATAAAATTACATATTTTCGATTACATTTAAACAAAGTTTGAAATTGAAAACAAATTGTTGTTGAATACTATCATAAAAAAGTTGAATCCCCACAATAACAATGAAGGAATGAAGGAAATGTACAGCTTTTGAAATGTGGTGTTACAGAAGAATGGCTAGAATTAATTGGAAAGATAAAATAAGAAATGAAAAAGTACCGTATCGGCGAATACGCGGGGGAAAATGTCGGGTCTCACAGTGACACAGTGAGCTTATAATATTATGGAAGGAAAAAGACCAAGGGGAAGACCAAGACACAGCTATATTAGTCAGATTAAGGAAGAAGTTGAAGTCGTGTCGTATCAACAACTAAAGAGGTTGATGGAAAATGTCAAGAGCTCCACCAAAGAGTGCGGCTCTTAATTTATGAATGAATACACAAAAATTCAAACTTCCCTCAATATAATATCTAATTGCTTCTAAAAGGACGTCTTTTCATATAGTCAACGTATTATTCACACACAACTAACCTGCTTCTCCTTTCACTTCCGGCAGATCAGTAGCTTCGACCGGTTTGGGCGCCTCCTCAGTTTGGTCAGTTTCCATTGGCTCCTCCTTAACTTCCACCGCAGGAGGTTGGCTCTCGTCAGTTTTATCACCGTTTTCCTGATATGAAACATACGATCTTGATATTATATATGATAGTTAATAATAACAGAATGAAAATATAAATTAAAGCAACTGTTATTTAAAAAAAAATAGCAATCTTCAGTTTGAATACTAAAACATAAGACCTAATTAACTAATAATTGATTATAATTAATAAAAGATATATAGAAAATTTGCAAATTCGTTTTGTGTTAAGTCTTGATGATGATTGATTGATGAGAAAAAAGTAATAAAATTTAGTGAGAGTTATTTTTATTTCACCTTCGGCTCTCCTTGATCAGCACCATCACCAGACTGATCCATTTCCTCTTTATCCTTATCTTTTTCTGACTCTTCTGCTTCCTCTTCTCCCTTCTCTTTCCTCTCTTTTTCTTTTCTTTCCCGTTCCAACCGTTCTCTCTCCTATAATCGTGATAATTAACAATAATTAAAACAAATATTGTTACAATAAGTAACATTTCTTCCTTAGTATTCCTGACAAGATTTTATTAGCAAAGTCCTAAGGCAATGTAAGTACATCAAGATATTATCAGGTCATTGACTCAGAAAAAAGCAGACCTAAATACTTACTAAAATATAATCACAGTTCCTCTAATCGATACAAAGGGAGATGGAAATTACGACGGCCTGAGCTGAGGTTTCAACCCATAGTTATTGTCAGATTAAAGTCATGTGCGTCAGGCAGGAGTTTACAGCTCCGTAAGTAGGTATTTCGATGGGTTTGGAATGACACATGGACAACATATTTAAACAAGTAAATGCTCAATTTGTTAGTAAATTTTATAAAATTTTCATACCTCTCTCTTTTTCCGTTGTCTTTCCTCCCTTTCCTTTCTCTCTCTATCACGACGTTCCTTCTCTCTCCGGATAGCTTCTTCCTTCTGTCGTTTGATTTCATCTTCAAGTGCCTTCTTTTCTTCCAATACTTGTTCCACAGGGATCTCAATACGTTTTCGGACTATCTTGGTTTTGGTCAACATATTGTACCTGAATAAATTATGGCTTTATTATATACCCAATATTCCATACAGGAGGCATGAAACTAGTCCCAAAGAGCAAAAGTAATTGTACTTTTGAATTATGTGATTTTGAAGATATGTAATAGTCATCTTGAATAAGGTAGCTCTTCAGACTACTAGTTTCAGAGATTTATGAGGTCATTAATACAATTTTGTAATTCCGTTTGCGATCTTATACGTTACAAAACGATATAAGAGTAAATACGAAATAACTATCTACCCTGCCTTAAATACTTGTAAACAATATAATTTACTAAGCAAACTATAAAATGTAGGTAAAACTTAACTCTTATTAAAATCTAAGTACAGTTAGAATTGGTTATAACAACTAAATACAATTTGTATAAATGTATTAATTAATTTGAAAAACCCTGTTTACAATATATTGTATATTATATATATAAAAAACATTAAGCGTTTTCTAATATTTTACCAGACTTTTTTTAGATAGAAAACATAATTTACACATTTTTCTTGGGCCGTGAGAATTTTTTTGTATAGGGCCCCGACTTGGTTAAGCCGGCCCTGATACCAAGGTACTCTAATACTGTGAAAAAACTCGTGATTATTTCCGGATATTAAAACTCACCTGTCATAGCCAAAGTTGACTTTGTAGCACAAGTTTTTGGTGATAATGTGCGGAAACAGTGCCTTATCATTAAGGACGGACTTGTCGAACTCAAATGCTGTACCCTGTTCGACGCCGTTCACGGTAAACGAGATCTTGCACGGAGAGGACTCCAAATCCTAAAAAAAAGTTGAGATGAATTATAATTTCAGAGAAACAACATTTGTAAATTAATAGAATCAAACACCAATTTTTAAATTTGTACAGACATAACTATCGAATGCCTGAATTTGGTGAATTGTTTTATTACAATTTATGTAATTATCACGACCTTCATAAATAAAACTGTAATACTTACAAATGCCAAATAATGTACCCAATAAAAAATACAAATTTTTACAATTATTATAATGATACAGTTATATATAGAAAAATTTTAAACAATAAAATGGAAAATGAATTGGTTTCATAAAAGCATGTAGTTCACAAGAGCCGAAAACAATCATATTGAAATTATCACATGGTGTGCTATAATACACACTGCATTACTATTAATCATTTAGTTGGTTTGTAATTTCGCTTGCGATCTCATAGACAATTAGTTCTACGAGAGTAAATACGAAATCATTATCTGCCTGCATCTAGAACTCAATCAAACATATAATTTGATTGAAAATTAACAAGAATACAGGGACGTCAAGATATCTAATAAAATAAATCAAACTTTGCTTTTTGTAAGTAGACTGTATCATATATCATAGACGATCTATTATATAGTATGATATAGATAGACAAAACAGTAAAGTCCCCATTATCATCATCGGCCTACTGCATTGCACTAATAGACAAGCTTCTTTCAAGGCACTACACATCCTATGTGGTTGTAGCCCACAAAAGGATAAACGAAATATTTCCTTTGAAAAGTATAAAATCTATACTGAGGGGATACAAACACTCTTAAGAATATCCTTCTAATCTTGTCCCTGATGATCTGAGTATTACAGGTCTTCACGCTCATCTTATCATCCTTTACCGGTTCCCCGCCAGCGTAAACGGTTAGCGCAGGCGGATGCACCATTCCATTATCATCCATACTGCTCTGCTATTCCTGGCCAAGACGGCAGCCATGGTAACAGGAGAGCATCTGACACTAAGTATAGCCGGACTATGGTATGCCACAACTACTGAAATATAGATCTAATATGTTAATACTGACCAGATATATTCCAATGACATCTTTCTCGGTGAGTTGCTTCCCATACTCCTTAAACTCGCCATTGTGTACAGCGCGCCCGGTACTCTCATAACCCCAGCTAAGCTCACCTTCACCTAGTGGAAAATTATTATAATTAGCATAAGTTATATTGACATTAAATCTTTTTTTTGTGTACTACGTAAGTGGAAAACAAATCATACTCTCCATCTAATGGTAAACGGTTACAGTGGCTTATGGACGCCTGAAACATCAGGGATGTCACGTGCGCGTTGCTGACCCTTAAGAAACTTTAATATACCCTTCTTGAAAATCTTTTTCTAAAACTGTACCCAGTATTATATTAACAGACAATATTTAAAGAGACGGAAATATATTTGTTTTCGTAAATACCCACAACACAAACTTTACATAAATTGGAATAACAAGTGTGTTATAAAATAAATTGTTCGGTGTTATAGTATGTAAAAAATGCTGAGTTCATTCAAATTTACTAAACATACCCTAAAAGAAAATCAACTGCACATCTTAAAATGTAACTCACCAAGGTGCAATGAGGAGTCATCAGTGGACCAGCCCACACGGAGACCAGAGCCAATGGGCTCCTTCTCACTGCTCTCTGTGGTTGTTACCACGGCTCCAACTCGCACCTACAAGAGTAGTTACCGTTACAGAACTGTCAATCTTATTGCATTTCAGATAAACACAATAGGTAATCCTTATATTCAAAATTACTATAGAATTCCGTTACCATTAGCATGTGAGACCATAAATATTCGGTGCGGATACCTGACCACCGCTACTGGAAATGTTTGGACCTTTTGGTTATCAAATTCCGACTGTTATTGAGTCACACCCATATTGGGACACATATTTCGCCAACTAAACAAGGATACCTAGTGGGACTGTTTTGCAACAATCGCCTGTCAGGTTTCTACACACTGAATATTTATGGTTTCACACATGTTAATGTTCTCCATTAAATAATACTAACTTTTGGTTATAGTAAAAAAAAGTGTTGTTTTTTTTTGAGAGTGAATAAATGAAGTTATGTATAATAATGTATACTGTATGCTAATGTATATGCCGTTATATACCTCGTAGCAAACACGGCCAGTGGTAACGCCGTGGGAGGCGCGGCTGCCTGCCCACGAATGGGCAAACACGCTTTCACTCAGCGGAACCACGCTGTTCAGTTCCGGCAGTTCCAAATACTGGTTCAAGTCACTGTCATCTGCAAAAAAGAAAAATTCCAAAATTAAATAATCTTTATTCAAATAAACTTAATATAAGCACTTTTGAAGTCATATTTTTTTACTACCACTCCTTCGGAACGCAAACTCATAACTCATTTGTTCTGTTGTTTGTTTAAATAAAAGTTGTTCTAAGTAAATACTCATTACAAGGATTAGACATGCTACAATCAACATAAAAAACGCTACGCACTCAATCAGATTTTTTACAACAAAAACATAATCATTTATGAATTCTTCAATTATATGAGCATTTAAGAAAAATTGTTGTGTACATTAACGATACCCGGTACCCTACCCTACAGTTAATCCTGTTGTATTCATTATACATTGTCTTTTATGAGGAATATGGTGTCAAGACTGTAATTACCAACACCATTCAACTAATACACATTATAAAAAGAATACTGCTTTCCAGCTAAGGTAGCTAAGACAAAAGTATTATGACAGATTTATAAGAAGTCGTATTTTTATGTAAACAATAAATTTTCACGGAGCAACAGATTTTGCCTATTACGGAATATACTTGAGAAAATAATTAGTAAAAAAAAAGATAAATAAAGCAATACTTACACCAAGACAGAGTGACTCTTTCATCATTAATCTCCGGTTCCAGTAATTTGGGGTCTACAATTTCGTTCTTCCCTTTTTTTGGAGTAGGCTGTAAAAATGTGTGACTTTTATTTTGATATTCATAATAATTTTACATGTAACAAATATGTTACACTATTGTAAACATGTGTACATTCAAAGGATTTGAAGCGGTCTATTGTCATAGACAAATATAAATCTCAAAATCAAGAGATATGAATGTGAAACTCATATTTTTATATTATATATTTATATTGAATCTCTTATCTATTGGATATTAAGAAAATGTATGATCATCACAATACCTCAGTTGGTAGTGTCAGCACTTCGTTAGTGACGGCGACAGTTTTGTAGAAGTTGCTCCATCGAGCCTTCTTCTCATGTTTGCGTTTCAAACGTTGCAACTTTATTGGATCCTGTCATTACAATTACATCTGATAAATAAAAACCATCACGACGTAGGCTTAACTCAGATGGGGTAGTCAGTGACATTCTCAACTGTCGAGGTCGTGGTGAACGTAATACTACACATGGTCACATTTCGTGGGTACATTCGAATCTAACATGAAAGGGTTGGAACGAGTTTGCAGTAGTTACGTGAATTGATTTATTTAGTATCCATCGCCAATTAGGCAAAAATTTTAATTGACACACAAATTTATTTTGTGTTAACCAGATTCGATATCAAGACCCACTGTATATGCCAAATATAATAAAAAATTATCTACTAGTTCTCCAATAACTTATGATAAATAGTGAATATTGATTAATTGCACTATATATAAGATGATATATATACAAAAGAGTTATCATATGTAAAAAGGAGGTAATTATTAAGAAGTGTGCACAACTTACATTACTGAGCTCCTCCAGTCGCTTGGCATCGTCCTCTGCCTGTTTCTTCTCTCGCTCCAGGCGCTCCTGCTCTCTGATCTTGAGACGCTCGTTTAGTTTCTCCCACTCTTCTTCCTCAGTTAACTCCCTCTCTTCATGCTGGAATTTATATATACATGTAATAATTACTTACAATTTTAATATAAAGAATTTATTATTATTATTATTCTCCCATGTGACTAAAAATATTTAAATTCATATAATATTTAGTTTAACTGTAGTGATCTAGTCTACATACTCCATGCTTGAAAATATTTACATAATTATTACTCACTATTATAACAGAAAATACAAGTTTTTAAAATAACTTAACCATTTTTTAATAAAAAAAAAAATGAAATATTTCTATTCAGAATGTTACTTTAAACTTATACTACTTTAGCAGATACATGCAATGACCTTGAATTCTGTATAATGTTAATATTAAACATTATACCAGATATCCAGAGAAGACGGAATTTTTATGAAACATCAACAAAAGCTATATTAAATAAAAAATATATATGTAAATACCTTGTCTTCTTTGTTAGTATCTTTAGGTTTATCATCTTCACCATTCTCCTCTCCATCATGATCCATATTCTCATTTTTGGTACTTGGAGTAACTTTATTCTCATTCTCTGTACTAACTCTTGCTTTACAATCTTCATTGTCCGCAGTTTCTAATAACAATACCAATATACTATCATAAATGTGTAATGGGTAGCCATTTGTAACCTTAGTGTTTTCCATGAAGATATTTTATATTACTACAATATAGGTTATTTATTATATAAAATAAAACAGAACATACACACAGCGAGTGTAATAAGTAGTACCGAAATAATAAAATTATGAATAAGACGTGACTTTACATTAAAAAAAATAGTACTCATATTTATATTGCTAACATAAAAAATGTATGAATGTATATATTTTATGTTATGGGAAATTTACTGGAACTGCACGATACACCTGCATGCATGTGCAAACATTTCATAACGTATAGTGTTTGCTGGATTAAGAAAATACAAATGCTTGTATCATGCTGGAATCCAACCTGTCACCATCGGAAGATGTTGTAGTGAATTACACCTATGTATTTTTATATTATTTATCTTCACGCCTAGTTTCTAAAGGAGCTAGCCAAGTGACAAACGCTATTTTAGAATACAGTCGACAATATCAAAAGTGAATATATTATATTGATTAACTGTCAATAGAACTCTATTTGTTAAATTGTCGAGGCTACATTAACGAAATTACTAGTTTATTTATTATTTTATTAACTTAAGGACATGAGTGTCATGTATGTGACCTTCAATTATAGTCTACTACATCATCACATCATCATCATTAATATATAATAATCCCATAATCTATACTAGTTGATGTCAACTATACGGCTACCGGGCCGCATTCGGCCTATGGGCTGTATTAATAACACCCGCGATCGGAATATGATTATTACAACCGTATATCATATCCATATCAAATTATATTTATTGATGTAGGGTCTATTTTCATGTTGTTTACACTGTTATGATATGTCAAATCTACTGTCAGTTTGGAGTGCTTTCGAGATGAGAAGACCGGACAAGAATACTTTTCAAATATTGTTTACAATAATACAGATGCATTTTTTTTCAATTCAAATTTGGAGAATATAGTGACCACCAGCATATGCTATTGCAATGTTGTCAAAAGCAAACAGTGTAATCAGTGTTCGTAACCCGAAGAGACCAGTCCCTCACAAGCAGCACCTGTTCACGAGTATGACGGATGAGCCAGCCAACATTGAATCGGCCCACCACGCCGCCCCAAGTTTGAGCTTTATAGCGAGCATGACTATTTCAAGTCCCTCCATTACGTCATTTTTAACAGCATAGGCTGTAATATATATAATTACATAAATAAAATATTATAATAATTCAGTACATAATTTAATTGATCTGGTCCGCCTACACTTTCTCAATTTAATATATGGCCCTCGGCAATATTGAGTTTGATACCTCTGATGTATATCGTATCAGGTGACTACCTACATTATTAAATGTAAAATTTTGTAGGTATATTTGTTGAACACCGATAGATCATATTCTAGTAGCTAATCTAATACTGAATTACTTACCATTGTCTTCTAAATCCTCCTTGATTTGTACTGGTGATGATTCACTGAAAACAATTTAATTATTACAACCATGTTTAATTTTGTCCAAACACAACTACAGTTTACAGTTATTACATGCGTAGAGTTTAATTTTGTTTCAATTCCATCACTGGTATCCCGCTAGCGTAAACCGTTTGCGCAGGCGGGTACACCATTTCATTATCATCCATTAAAAAAAAAACTTAAAAGTATAACTCACGTTTCTTCTTCTTCGAGGACATAGGGTTCGGATGGGGCGGGCTTCCGCGGCGTGTCGACATGAGGCTCGGGCTCGGGGGCCGCCACTGGGGCCACCACTGGCGCCGGTGTCGGTACTGGTACGGGCGCAGGTTGAACCGGCGTTGAGTCATCAGAATCTTCTTCCTTCACATCCTCTTCTATTAGCTCGGGACCGTCGCGCGGAGGTTGCTATTATAGATAGAATAGAATAAACCTCTTATTTCACATTTACAGGTTATATCTATTTCAGATACCAGCTTCTCACAGCGATTGTTTTCTATAGTAAATTTTTGACATTGTGTTATCCAAAAATACTACATGTATTTGACTCGCCACCGGTCCATCACGTGGCAGAAAGGGAATCTCCAAGCACTTCTCGGTCCCGGGATTTGGACCCGGATGTCGGTTTAAGTTGCCCATCAATACCTGATAGATGACGTTTTCGAACTACTCTAATGCCTGGCTTTTACATCTTAACCGAACGAAAGGGGGTGAGTGCAGATGGTACTCCAAGCCTGCAGAAAGACTTATGGAGCGGCTGAACGCTAACTCCCGCCTGACGGATACAACTTTAGTCTGAGGGCGCTAGCGTTTGGAACCTCGGCTCAGGCCGTCGTAATTTCGATCCTCATTTGAATTGGACGGGGTTCGATGACATATACTCGTACAAACAGTTTAAAAAATACACACAAAATAAGCTATTATCAAAAGACTCATAAATTTTAAGTCTGACTATCGATCACTTTGACCACTTCAAATCCGTACTTCTTAATAGAAGAATATACTAATACTAGGTTATTAAATTAGGTTAGTTGTCATTGGTGTGATTGAATGTGGCAGTGAGCTGTACAATATCTATCTACTATTGTACTATTTGTAAAGATTACTAATTTGCATAGGACAATTCAATATGAAAATTGCACCGTTAATCTTCCTAAAATAAATGTAGGGACAAAAAGAAATTCCATAAATACTCACAGGCATGTTTATGTAGTTAATTAATTACTTTTCAAACCAATCAATGCATAGTGACATCCACACAACGCACCGCACACTTTTACAATTTACTTAGGAGTGACACTATCGGCACGCGATACGGTCGGCATTATCAGCGATACCCATTAACTTTATCAATAGTTTGCATGTAAATATAAATACCTAAAACTGCATGGCACTACGACTACTAAAGAAACTTGTTAAATACTACAATAGTGGGGGAAGGAGATTGTTATTAATGGGGATTAATACACTAATATCGATTACCAAAATATTGATGTACACAAAAATGGGGTAAAAAAATATTAATTACAATAAAAATGACGTACATATGCGGCTAAAATGTTCTACATGAATAAACGGTTTTAAATAATAATTTAGAAATTCAGATTGACCTCGACGCAGTTGCACTATTCACACAGCGCTATTTAGTCCCAAGCTAAGCAGAATTTGTGTCATGGGTACTAGACAACTAATCTAAAAACATATACAAACTTTTAATATTATATATTATGTTTCCATTTTTACTTCAAAGTAAAATATTTTCAACCAGTACCTCATTTTATTTGTGATATCACCAATGTACTAACTTAGAATTAATTAACTAATCAAAATTTGCATAAAAACTGTAATGTGTCTAATAAATTGGACTGAAACTGTCTGAATAAATTGGAGGTATAATATACAAAGAAAACAATGTGAATACAAAAGTGTGTGTCGTGCGAGGAATTAAATCTTTACGACCATCGGAAGTTAAGCCGTGTGCTAAACCGCTAGACCACCAAGGTCGTTAAATAAACGTTGGAGTTCCGTACCCTGGATGGAGTCGCCACCAGGCGCGATGATGACGACCTCCTCGTGGTCCTCGCGGCAGGTCCCGGTCGCCGGGGTGTAGCCACGTCATCCAAATCCTCTGTTGTCGTGTCCAATATAGACGTATCTGCTAAAACTGAGGACAATATGAAAACAGTTTAGTACATAATATCTGTTACACTTAGGTATGTGGCGAATTTACTATTATTGTGCGACAAGCTGTTGCCTAGTTACGACATTGAGAAGAAATAACAGGCCTATCATTCAAGACTGAATCGCCTCTTGTAAATATACTTCTTATGTATCTATTGTAAATACTTCGTTAATATACATAATGTAAATAGCAATCACTGGACTCATCATTCCACCTCCCCTGCTGCTGCTGCTACATGAACACATAGAGGAACACAGGGAGACTATACTAGTACTACAAAGTGTTTGATGGAGATACTCTGTGTACATAACATCAGGAAATGATAATCTATTGTCTTTTATGGTTGACACATTCAATCAGATTACAATCTTGTTATTATGGTTGCTAAGGAGCAGTAGTCTAAATATTATGGATTACTTTTTATTTACATAGTCCTAAAACAGTTGACTGTGTATGCAGAGTAGAACATCCAAAATAACTGGATCTTATAGAATAATCAATCATTTCAAAGTCATATTAATCAAGATGGACATAGGCACTTCATATATAATAATAATAATGTATTATTTTGGTATTAAATTTGTATCATATTTTATTTATTTATTTGCTTCGCTTCAGCAGTTTATCCTAAAACATAGGCCTCCAATGGAACCATAAGCAATATACAATTTAACTACAATAAAAGAATAAATATTTTGACACAGAGACTTTTTAGAATTTGAATATTGATTCAAATTGTTATTGAACAAATAAATAAATAACTGAAATATGAAGAGACTGTGACTTATCCCAATATAGGAATTTCTAACATAATAGATAGATATTTTACTCTTAAAACAAGATTTGAAATAAATTAAAATAATTTCTAAAAGCTAATCAAATTAACTGATTACTAATGCTGTAAAATTTCAGTTTGAACTTTTAAATTAACATTTCCTGTATTTATTGTGAATGGAATAACAAACATTTCATGGTGTTAATAGGTTTCTTATCAACACATGTAATAATGGAAGTTGGTAATCAGAACTCAAATGCAAACACTGTGTGTATAGTTTGATAACATTTGAAATGTACTAGTATTTCAAATTTATATATATTTTCATAGTCCTAAAACACTTTAGTGTGTATGTAGTTTGATAACATTGAAATGCTAGTAGCTAAACTAAAATTATTATAGTTAGTTGCACCAGCAATATTGTTGTTATTTACTCTTTTGAAAAAAATATTTGTAATTCTAAAATACTTCTCAACTTAATTAGCAACCGAAACTTGCCCAGTTGTAGTTCATTGTCAGTTCATAGGGATAGTAATTAAACTCAAAATTGTTTATTAAGGATACTTTCCCTGATATACTACATACTGATTACATATGTAAATATTTTATCACTATCCCTATCACCTAGCTAAGATAGGTAATAAAAAATGATGTAAAAGTGCAGTTCGAGTACCCTAATATTATTAAAGACTATAGTCCATTTACATACAAATTTTGTTCAAATATATTAACATTATGACAACAGAAGCATGATTGAGTAACAGACATCATTATAAACTTTCAAATTTAGAATAATTACTAATTGATAGTCAATTTAATGATCACTATATAAAAACATAATGAAAATTCTTCAATACTAAAGTTTCCTGTCACATTGCTTTTAAATAACAATACTTTTTTCTAAATATATTCCACCTATAGCACAGGTTTCAATTACAAGAATGTTTCCGGAGTCCCCTAGATTAAGGACCAAAATTACCGTTTAAAATTAATTTAAGCAAAATTTATAAATTTAGTATAAACTTTAGATGGAAGTATTTATAATTGGCCCTAAAAAGAAACAAAGTTATTGAATACGGTAGATTCTAAACACTGGTTTGGTTTTTTTTTAATGTTTACTATTGATAACTTTAGAGCCGATCAGAAGCACTCCACGCTAATAAATAAACATTTTATTGTAACATTTAATATTGCAATCGTAATTATGAACTCACGTTGGGAACTTCCGTAGCGCGCCAATAAGCGTTGTCATGCAGTAAAATTCAAACACTGCCTATACCTACAACACACGCCATTCGTGACGTAATTTCGGCATCAATTCGCTACTGTTTCAGTTCCGCCTTACGATTACTAAATAATAACATGAATTAAATGTTATTAAATATTGCTTACATTTTATTACCACGGAAGTGCATACACGTGCTTTGTTGATTTTCGGTGAAAAGATATTATTCAATAATGTAGTTAAAGATATCTATGTAATATTTTAATTGGACTAAATGTAGTTAAGAAGTCAATATAATATGGTTTACCTTTTCCAGTTTTAGCTTCCAGAGCTTTCTTCAGTCTTTCGACCAAAGCCGGCTTGTTACCCTTAGTATCCAAGCCTAGAGCGCCAAGTTCAGATCTCAGATCTACTACTTTCATCTTTGCCGGATCCATTTTGATTTAGTTTTTATTTTTCCACCACACAAATAAGATTAATACACTATTAAAATAACCAACTACGTGAAATTAGACATCACAAGAAAACTATTATCAAGAAAGCGCCAAGCCAAATCAATATGGCGGCAGCATTCGGCAGAAAACAGGATTCGGAAGTTTGGAAATGTAAAGAATATCATAGACTAGATACTCTATGCTCCTAATCTATGGACTGGTTAAACGGATAGAGAAAATATGGAAGACACTTAATAATTTATTCCAATAGATGGCGCTGTTGTATTATAACGTAAAAAAAACTCTGATGTAAGATATTAAGAGAATGTCATAATATGTTAATTCGTAATACTTACATTTTAGCTTAGCTATAGGAATATATAACAAATGGTTAAATCAATTTTATTTTTAATATTCCATATTGGAGTTAGCAAAAGATTCATCTCATAACTATATTAATTTGGGATGGGATGAATCATGCATCTTTCCTGAAATCGTAGCGTTAAATCGTATGTTATCATACTAATCCGTATATCGATACATTTTAATATCAACCAGGTCTAAATAAAATATTGAATGAAGATGCGAGGCAAAATGTCTAAAATGGTTGCTTGGTTACAAAATGATTGAAGGACTATAAATTTAGTTATGTTTTAGTATTAACTAGATATATTTGATATTATTTGGAATCTCTTAAATTTAATAATAATTTATGTAAATTAAACAATGGCAAGGAAAGAAGAACCTAAAAGTACTTAAGTCTTGCTTTTATTTACCATTATTATATTTTTTTTTAATATAGTTTTTGTACATATATTTGTAATTAACTTTACAGTTCAACCTAATAACGACTTGGAGAAAAAAATTATAGAGGCATTTGAAGTATTTGATCATTCTGGGAAACAAGTCGTTGATGTGCGAGAAATTGGGACAATTTTACGTTCCCTTGGTAGGTACTTAGATACACAGGTACAAATGAAGTAAACACTATCGTCATTGTGTAAGCGGTTCGGTAGTACCGCTTATATATATCCCTATACTTGTAATATTTCTATCGACACTTGAGACCCTTCCCTTAGTTTACGTCTCCACTAACATAAATCACTACGTCCTGACTCCGCGTCGACTGGATGGATTATTAATAAACCATGTAGCAACTACCAATAAACGTAATATTGTCTAATAAATAGTGCAATCATTTTCACGTTAAATTCTGGTTAATTTGTAACGATGGTCTCACTGACCTGACGTGTTGAGCGTGAGGCTCTTATCATTAATAACTGGTGGAGCTGAACTCAACTTTTTCTTTCATTTCTCATGAGTACGCTTATTATATATCGGCTGGATCATCCTGCGTGTTGTATTGCAGGATGTTGTCCCACGGAAGCGGAAATACAAGAGGTGATTCTGGCGACTGAAAACAAGGAGGCTACTGGAAATGTGCCACTCGTCAACTTTCTCCCATACATGTGTAAAGTTATGATAGAACACAGGCAAGTACCTATACTTGAGTACTGAAATGAAAATATCAGTCTTCCTGGTATCTTTATTTGGAATAGATCCAAATAAAGATATCAGTCTTTATCATACAATCTTTAGAGTCAAAAGAAGGTTCAAACTAGATGGTGCTTTGTGAATTGTCCCGGGTTATTATTGTAATATTCTACGTTAATAACAAATTCAGTCTCATATTTATGTATTTATTACATTATTTTATTATCGTTTAGGTTCTACCCCGCGAGTGCAGATATGCTGTTAGCTGCGTTCCGATATTTTGATACTGAGGCACGTGGATATCTTACCAAAGAGAGATTCACGCAGCTAATGATGGAGGAAGGAGAACCTTTTACCCAGGTTTTACATTATTCCATTAACTGCTAGTCTGCCATCTAATATATTTATCTAATTATTAGGTAACAATATGAAAAAATATATTAAACACAAAAGTTTAAAACGAACTATATGTAGTTAAACGGGGTTCAACACGAGTAATTATAGGCAAATAAAGGTATTCACCTGTCTTGATTTTCGACGAGATTGCACTATCCATGGTCACGAGTTGACTGTCGTGTAAATGTCAATAGGTGCCGGCAGTTTGTTCAACTACCTTCATCAGATTGTCCTACGACAATTCTCGACACACAATACTTACGGTAGCTACCCGTACACTAATTGAACGAAGCTACGAACGACCTTAGAACTTAATTATAATAATCATTTAGTTTAAAAATTAATAACCAGTGTTTTCGTGGGGATTTACGTGGTATTCAATGATGTTGATGATTGTTTTTGCATTTCGAATATTAGATATATTCAAAATTATATTTACCCTTACGATGGCCAGTTGTCATCAATCAGTTCACAAAGTTAGAAGCAATAACAATTTTAGCGGTTAGTTGTACCACAGATAACATAATACTACAGGGAGGAAGGGGATTGTTAGTAATGTGGACTCAACCCATTACTAGCAATGTACCATGTCAGGTTGGCCTCCACGTGGTTACCCCTGGAAACCATCGTGATACATTTCTAATGAATTTGTCACGATGGGCTAACTGACCTGACCTCATGCTCATCTTATCATCCTCCACTGGTACCCCGCCAGCGTAAACCGTTAGCGCAGGCGGATGCATAATTTCATTATAATCCCAAAAAAAAAACATAATATTACATAGTTGTACTATAGGAAAAGTATTCATCATAATACTTTTTCTACAGTTATAAAATTCCACCAGAATATTTATTCACAGGAGGAGTTTGAGGAAATGATGCAGACGGCTTTAGATCCTGTCACCGACACCATCACGTATGAGTATTATATCAATCAACTCATGGTATGTTGCACTGCTATGATTTATTACACTATTTATAATTTTACTTATATGTGTGTTGTGTGGTCATGCTCACTAAAAAGTACAGACATTTGGACTCCGTAAAATATGGTCAAGCACAGATATTGCTAGGCTAATCATTACTACTGATTTATTTAGTTACTCAACCAATTGTATATTTAAGTATTTGACTGATAAATTCGTGCTATTTGGTAGACTGTATTCATACCTATTTTGAGTTGAAAATGTAATTGTTGCAAAGAGCGGCACGCAGGTTTCTTGATGGCTTTTTTTTCCTGTTGATTCAAGTTTTGCGGATCTACCACTAATCCACAACGATTACTCAACAGTGACTCAAAAGTGGATAAAATTAAGTTTCTTTGAATAATTTTTCTATTCTATTAATTCGTTGATAACCGGCTAATTGCAAGATTAGCTGGCTTACAATTGCACAGACAAAAGTTTTTAATATCAGTTTTGGGTTATATTATGTAGCGGCAAACCTACATATATCTATTTTAAGCTGCAAGGTAAGTAGCAGATAAGGAACAGGTCAAAGTGACCAATATCCTCCCGTACAAAACTTGTAAGCCTAATAAGAACTGCAGCTGGCTTTCACAAATTTTCGACCGGGACGAATGACGAAATTCGGACCTGGTTTGGGGTCTAATTTAAATAATAAAATCAATTAAAATAATACGTGAACCGCCTTTATTATATAGCGGCATCGCAGAACCAAGATGTAGACTTCAAGGAGTTCACCCGTTATTCTTCACCACATGTGTGTGTGAAATACATCGTGTGTTTTTTTATTGATTTAATATATTTTTTATGCATAATTTAAAATAAAAATATTAGCATTCTTCATTCCTTCTCTATATGTGTGCGAAGTTTCATACTCCCCCGTCCACCTAATTTTCGTAAAAAGGGGTAGATTGCTTCACGTAATAATATGTATGTTAACTAGATGAATGAAAAGTTTGTTTCGTTACTTTAAACACGCTAATCTTTAAAACCAGTCGAATTTTCACAACTAATTTGATAACCTAATAATGGATTGCTTTTTTAGTATTTGTAAATGGAATTGTGCATACACCTGCGCCAATGGTATGCGCTGGCAGACCACCAGAGGAAGATAATAGGATCATGGAAAAATATTATAATAATGGCCTGAAAAGTGCATTGTTATAATATTTTGAAATAAAATTAGCAAATTTGGGTGGTCGGTTTAAAGATGGTATAAACAAAGCTAACGCGTAAAAATGTTTTATCTGTGGAATCCATACTAATTTCATGAATCCGTAAGTTACACTGTCTGTTGGTTTGATGTTTTCAGATAGTCCGTAAGCTTGTTTACCACCTTGGTGTTAAAAAAATAAATGGCTAAACGGATTAGTCTATCTTTTATCTGAAAAGAAACTTACAAAGTCACACTAATTGCTAATACATTTACCTAATGTATGATTAAAATAGAAAAATTACATTCTTTCTATTTGAATTTATCTTTATTAGACAAATATAATGAATGAATATAACACTACAATTAAATACTAATTTAAGTGTCTAGTATGTTTATAAATGTAAAGAAAAGAGAAAGAAATATTTAGTATATTAAAACGAAAACAACCTGACAAGAATAATGGTAATGGTTTTATAACTTACCATTAGTTGTTAAATAAAAATTATAAGTAATAAAATATGTCAATAACATAAGTTTTAAACTGCATTACACCACTCTATATAGCTATAATGTGTAAAATGTTAATGACTATTCTCATTTAAAATGAAGCCATGTGCAAATTTGTGCACCTAACCTATATTCTATTCGGAGCGGATTTTTTTTATATTAGATTTAGATTCCATTTTCATTCTTTATATTGAATCCATGTCGCTGGCATTTAAACCATTACTATACAAACTAACCAAAACAATAATTTATTGTAACCTGTTTTGGGAGCTCCCTATCAAGTTATATTAGTTTAATATTATGCATGTATCCATATGTCTAGTTATCGTGTACAAGTCGACTGGCCCGTCTGGTCCTTATACTAGACGGCGTCACGTTGGCTAAACGAGATGAGCTTCTCGTTGGTGTAGCGCGTCCGGCCTCCTTCAATTCTGTTTTTAAAGGAGTTATTTTATCTTTATGTTCAGCTTCGATTTTTAATTCAACTTCAACATCAGCGTTTGTACCTTGGGTTACATCGTCTACATCTATAGTATCACTTTCAATTTCATTTTTAACTGCTACGTCGTTTTCTTCTGTTGCATTACATTGTTCCACTGCATAATTATCTTCTGTTGCATTATATTGTTCCACTGCGTCATTTTCTTCTACGACGTCATTTTCCTGCACACTATTGTCGCCTTCAACAATACAGTCATCGTCTACTTTAGTGTCATCTGTTGCTTCATATTCCTCTACAATATTTTCTTCTTGGACAATATTTTCATCTACCTCTTCACTTCCACTATTCAATTGAATTTCATCCCCTTCATCACATTTCTCAGTTTCAATATGGTGTATCTCCTCCTCATTAGGGTTGTGACTTTGGCTATCTTGTGACGCCTCTTTTTCTTCAGTTAATACTGCTTCATTAATTCCACTCATCATATCATTTTCAATCTGCTCGGAATTGGTCACAACTCTTTCTTCTAATACATCAACAGGCTTTTCCGTATCTTGTGTTGTTTTCGAAGAGTCTTCCTCTTGTCTGATTTCGGTAAGTAAACTTTCTATTTGATCATCTATAGACTGTAAAGACGTATCACCGATACATTCATTTCCAGTGGTTTGCGGATTGTTTACATCATTTGGTGCATCCAAAGCATCTTTTGTAACCCAATTACTGATTTTTATAATAAGTTTATTGTTACCTATAACAATAATTTATTTGTTACGACAACATTAATTTTATTACACAAATCATTATTCAGTAAATTTTACAAATAAAAATAATATTTTAAAAACATAGGATTTACATAGAGCTTACCAATAAGTGTGTTGTTGGCTTCGACAATACCGTCAAAGTTGTCCTTGCTATCGAACCCGACAAACAGTAAATTCCGCATATGCTTGACCTTTTTGATAGACTTGGGGTCATACTGGTCCAGGAATTTTTGCATTATGGCCCGTTTAGGCAATGAAGGGCGACCCACGATCTGAAATAACCATTTTGTGTTAACACAGGACTTTTAGTTTAAACGATATACCCATCACGACCCACTAACGCCTAAGTATGCGAGTGTGTGTAAAAACAATTTAAAAAATAATATTAACATGCAACAACTTAGAAACAGGTATTATTAGTAATTAATGTCAATTTATGTGTGTTTGTAGACTATTTAGAAATATTGTGTACTATCTCTACCCGCGGTTTCATCCGCGTGAAATTTTATAGCCTATATATTATTCTGATGTACAAGCTACATTACTGTAAAGTTTCATCAAAATCCGTTCAGTAGTTTTTGCGTGAAAGAGTAACAAATAATATGGATGGATGCATATTAAAAAACTTTCGCGTTTATAAATTCGTAAGTTTTTGTTTTTCTTGTAATTTGTTAATTGTTAAAATTGCGAATGCTATTAGTTTTAGGTACCGTGTAAGGAAATGTTACTTACCTTAACATAATAAGGTAGACGTGGTCGTTGTGTGATTGGTGCAGGCGGTTCTGAATCATTTTCTTTGACAATATCTTTATTTTCCTCTGTTGTTTTTGTAATGTTATCATCATCATCATCGATTTGAATCCACGCCTGCTTTTTCAGTAGCGTGGCAGTTTTGTTTAATATTTCATCCTTTTTGTCTACGTAAAATTTGTCTAAATTCAACAATTTTATAATGTTCTGGAAAAAATATCAGACCATAATTCCATAACTATATATACAACTCAAGAATTATAGAATTTTTTAGATATAGATTTGAATATATGTAGTTTTAAACTCATGCTATTTGGGTTCCATTCTTTCAAATATAACTTGGCACATTTTTCCATTGAATTGGAATTTTTTCAATTGGAAAAATCAGTTCAATAGTGGGTTAAAATATACTGTGTAGTTATATTTGGAAAATAATTTAGGGCATGATAGGGTTGATATACTAAAATTAAACATGGTAGTTATATACGAAGAGTAGGAAAGAGTACCAAAGGATAGAAGAGCAACATTTTCGTAACATGTAAGCATATTATATATGTAGAAGCTGAGGTGATCTTGATTCTAATATATAGTATCATAGTATTTATGTTTTGTTATTAACCAGCTTGCCAAAACGAATTTGGAAGTTATTGTCATAATAAATGTTCAACAACGTAGCAATATCGTATGAAAGCATAAAATAATCCACGACTCTACACTCTGAAAAATGAATTATAATTATATAAAATGTCTTACTTTTCTAAAGTTGAACAACACCTGTGGAAGTTTTCGATCCAGCAAAACCTTCATAAGTTTCTCATAATGATATGATTTAGTATAACGATTAGGTGTATTAGGAACAATAGTATCATAGCTATTATCCTTATCGACGGCATCGGAATCATTCAGTTCTGTATCATTTTTTGCAGACTTGACACTTTCCTTATACATTTTCTCAGCTGTCAGGATATTGTCAACTAGAGGTTGTATATCTGTTTCCCTCTCTTCGGCATATATATCTCTTAGCTGTAACAAAAGTAACACAAGTTTTAAGTTAAAAATATGCTACTTATACATGCTACAACGCACATGGCGTTGTAGCATGATGCGGGTGACAGTTTCATTTTGTTTCACTTTTAAAAGTTGCCGTGATTTACAAGTTGTGACTTATTGTTAGTATTTCAGCTGTATCACATTTGTAATATATTAAATAGCTGTCCCGGCAAACGTTGTTTTGCCATATAAATTAATAACGCTATAAAAAAATAGGGGTTGATGATAGAAGGGTGAAAATTTAGGATTTTATGTATTTTTGTATGTTGTATCATAAAAAAAGAGAAACTAAAAATTTTGTCTAAAAAATAAA